AATATGAGGGGAATGTCGAGGTAACTATGAATTTGCTATACTCTAATCTCTCCGTATCTTTTTCTCATTCTGTGTAAGTTAATTGGTTGTATCCTTTTTTATTAGGCTACTGGAGAGGATTTCTCTGTGGAACCTGCTGATACTAGGAGGCCATTCCGCGCTCTCCTTGATGTTGGTCTTATTAGGACCACAACTGGCAACCGTGTCTTTGGTGCCCTGAAGGTACTCAATATTATACTGCAATTCTAATGTGAATGATTTTGCTTTAAGGATGCTCAAATTGAATAATTGCGATGCTTTTCAGGGAGCTCTTGATGGGGGTTTGGATATTCCTCACAGCGACAAAAGGTTTGCTGGTTTTGATAAGGAGAAGAAAGAACTTGACGCTGAGATTCACCGCAAATACATCTTTGGCGGACATGTTGCTGCCTATATGAAGGCATGTGCAAAGATTTTATTTGATGCACTTCTGTTGGAATTTTCAGTGCAATATTATGAGTTTGCAGACATTTGTTTAACCACCTCTTTATATTTTCTACAGACCTTGATGGAAGATGAACCGGAGAAATACCAGAGGCACTTTCCGGAATACATCAAGCGAGGAATTGAGGCTGATGGACTTGAGGAGTTGTACAAGAAGGTTCATGCTGCCATTCGTGCAGATCCTGCAGAAAAGAAATCTGAGAAGCAGCCACCAAAGGAACACAAGAGGTAAGTTATTATATTTCAGCTATCCTTAAGAAATTTGTTTTGATTTGTTTGCTTGGCATGAGCAAATATGGTTTGAAGATTTTAAGTGGAGGGGAAAGGAAAGGAAGGGAAAGTAAGCAAGGGAATGGAGGGGGATCCCCCACAGGAAAAAGCTCAAATTTCAGGTTGAAGAACTTTGATGCCTTGGGAGGGGGAATCCTATCCCCATTTAAAATCTTCTAAACAAGGGATAGGGTTGTTTTTTCACTCCTTTCCTCTACCTTCCCATTCCTTACCTCATTCAAACATAGATTTAAATGACTGACCGAGTGGAGAATATTTGGTTTGCTAACTTTACAATATTACTTACGGATTGTAGATTCCTGAGAGTTTTCCTTTGTATCTTTTCTCCAGGTACAACCTGAAGAAGCTTACATATGAGGAGAGGAAAGCTAAGTTGATCGCCCGCTTGCAAGCTCTCAACTCTGCAGCTGAAGCTCCTGAAGATGATGATGAGGATGACGACTGAGAGTATATTGTGTATGCATCACAAGTGATGCATATGTAGAACATATCCCTACTTGCATTTAGAGAATCATTTTCTTGAAAAATTTTGTTGCTTTTACTAATTTATTTTCTAGATAAAAAAATTGGATACTTCTTGTTTTGGCGTTTTTTTGTGTCAAATTTGACTAAACCTGGATGGATGTGTTCTAAAAAATTTTCTGTTTCACACATTATTTTTTATTTGTGTCTTACCTTTTAGTACTGCTTGTGGTCTTGTGGGTGATGTGGACGGTAACATGCATTTCTTTATCTTCTTATTCTTGGATGTAGGCTTGGAAAATAAGCTGTGTATCAATTTTGTAATAAAGTCAACGTATTCTAAAGGCATTCTAACCTCGAGTCAGTCAATGCTAGGTAGGAGTCAGGATACATTTATGTCTAATTGCTCCACATATCGTCCCTCGAATCATATTTTCTAAACGAACCAAGGCCAATCCAAATTGGTCTTGTAATAGATCTGCTACAGAACGAATACGTTTATTTTTTAAATGATTCATGTCGTCCAGTGTACCCATTCCAAATTTCATTCCAACCAAATGATCCACAACTGTCAAATATATCTCGTGGTAACAAAATTGTATTGTTCCGGGGTATATCAAGATTCAGCCTTCGGTTCATATTTTGTCGACCAATCCTTCCCAGTACATCGGTTATTTAAAGAGTCACATTCTGGCCTTCACTTTTAAATATTAATGCTCTCTTTTAAAGAAGTAGGAGATTGTAATTTCCACCCAATTATGATGGTTTCTTTCATTTTACAAGTGGTGACCATTAGTGGTGAAAGTGGGCTGGGCTGGGTCGAGTTTTGTTCTGAAAAACTCAAGTCTACGTCAAAAAATTTCAATTTGGTCCGGCTCAAGCCTAGTATGAGTTTAACTGTTAGTCTGGTTTGACTCGTTTATGAAAAAAACAAATGGTCTGGCTTGGTCTGTTAGCCTGTTAATTTTTAACTTGCAAGCAGAATCATGAATCAATTTTACAAAGTACTCAAATTCTGTTACTACACAAAAAATCATAATTTCAACGTCCAAACAGATCATGAATCATAACAAAACTAATACAATATGCATTTAAGTCATTTTTAAAAGCAAAATGCTCAAATTAAATAATATATATTTCATCAGATCCAACAAACAAATTCATACTATGTAAATTAAAATAATTACATGAATCCAACAAACACATCATGATGTTTGTAGTAAGTATAACCTCTGCCAAAAATCTTTTAATCTATTCATATACACAATCTAACATGTTGAGATGTTGGTTCCTCCTATATAAGAAATAAAGTAAGATTTCTATTAAAATATAATCGAATATGATTAAGTTATAAATAATTGCAATTGATTAAATTTATATTTTTTTTTTCTTCAAGGCATACTTACTCTATTTTATTTAAAATAAATAGTACAATATAGGTCGGCCTGTAGTCTTATAGGCCCGACCTTTTGAAAGTGGGCCTACGACTTTTTTTATTAAACATGTTTTTTTAAGGCCCAAGCCTGACCTATTATACAAAATATACTAGATCAGGTCTAGCCTGATGTAGGCCGAGCCGTAGGCCCCTGTAGGTCGGCCCGGCCCAATTTCACCCCTAGTGACCATGAATTCATTTAGTTATCATGTATCTAAAACCGAGTGAAATACAATTGAACGAAGGGATAAGATATTGGAATAATCAATTAGGGTTACTATAAATGTTAAATTGTTAGATTGATTATGTTAATTCAATGGTTATATAAAATTTATTGGATCAATATAATTGATTATACGATGAAATCAATTTGAATGAATAATGAGCTGTATAGGGGTAGGAAAACTGATAGTATGAATATAAAGCGTCATGTTCGGTACATATGCTATATGCTATTGGCATGATATATATTAATGTGTGATAACATGTTTATGATAAATAAGTTTTTGTTTAAAATAAACAATATTGTATTTGTATCTAATTAGACTCAATTTTGATTCTTTTTTAATAAGATCTTTTCACATTAATGTCCCAAGTCATTAAAGAAGATTGTCTATTATTTTTTTATTTAAAATTCATGATTTTTTTAATAATTATTAGATGATAATATAAAAACATTTTACTATCAATTGATCAAATCTAGTTTAATTCAATCCATGTATTTAACCAATGAAATTGTGCATATGTAATAAATATATTGTTTAGATTTTAGAATTTAGTTTTATTCATTTCAATTTGTTTTCTCTATCGTTTATTTAAGATTTGATATCAACATGAATACTACTTTTATCGCAAATTAGTTGGGATCAACTGTCCATTTACTAAAATAATATTTATTCTTATTTTTTTATTAATTTTTAAATTGTTTTAAATCAAATCTCGGTTACAGATATTTTATTAATGTAGGTATCATCATAAAATAACAAAATAAAATATATTTCACGATAAAATACACATTAACTCATATCTGGTACCTGTTTTTCTGCCGGAACCTGCAAACTTTCTTCAACAAAAACACTGTTTTTCTTTTTCCATTTTATAAAGGGTGTGTGGCCCCAAAAAATTGTTTTAGCGAAAGTCTGAACCATTGACCAAAGCAATATTTTAGGCACTCATTTGTCATGTTTTTCTTTTTAAAAGAGATAGAATTGTATTATTTTATGACTAGAGAAACATAAATTATGATGGAAGAAAGTGAGAATATTTTAATTAATTTTAAATTTAAAAATATTAATTTTAACTTAAATAACTATTATTTAAAAGAATAAATATTTTCCCTTAAATAATAACACCTAAGAGGATTCTCAGTGTGATGCCACTCGATCAACAATTTTTTAATTAAAATAACATGTGTTTTATTCTATAGATAGAGATGTCTAGCCCAATAGACTAATGATTGTCAAAGAATGATGTGTGTGCACAATAATAGCATGATAGTAATAAAGAGAGTGATCATACCCGTAGGCTTTACTTCTTATTTATAGGGTTTACTTGTGAGTATTAGGATTTCTGGACCTTCTGTGCCTCTTTTACCGCCCAAGCCCATGTTTAATGCTATCGTATTATGATTGATATTTTTTTTTTTGGTAAACAGGATTGATATCTTTAATGAATATCTCATTTGATTATATCAAATTTTATTTGGATTGCTCTTTATTGGGCCATATAATAAATGAGTCTCACATATAAATCCATAACAATATGAGAAAATATATACTTACAAACCTATTTTTGTTTACAATATCTGATAATCATATCTTAATAGCTAATTTCTACCAATCAACAGTTATTATTTTTTGCAAATCAAACTAATTATTATTTTCACAAATCAAACGAACAAATTATTTATTAATTTATAATAAATGATAATTATTGATTGACGAAAATCAATGAAAAATATATAATTGTAAAAAATTATAAACAAAAATAAGTTCTAAGTATATCCTTCCTCGGATAACATATCAAACCTTTTGGTCTCTATAAACATATGGATATATCCTTTAAAAAAATAGATATTTTTTCAAAGGGAAAAATGTTTGTCATTTTAAATGACATAAAATTATCTTATTTTAAGAAAGAGATAGACACAAAATAATATTTTTTATTTAAAATTTAAATTAAAAAAAATCCACGTACTTTCTCCCCATAATTTTCATTCTTTATATCTATCTATCAACTAAAATTACACGACTTATTAAAAAAAAGTAACATATAATGTTTTGGGGGTTATTTTAAGACCGGCCACATTTATTTATTTTGGGTAGAAAAAGTGGACTTTGGAGAAGAAGAAGCGAGGAAGCAACAGAGAGAGAGAAAGAGAGAGAGAGAAGCAAGGTAGAGATCAGAATTGAGAAGTCAAGGCGAGTAGTTGAAGGAACGTATGCAACTACTCTTCTAATCTCACAATCTCTTTCGCTTTTCTCGTTCCATTCCACAAAATTAGAGAAAAAATGGACGAACATGGCAATTCCTGTCGCTGATCATCATCCCAATCCGACATCAAAAGAGGATGTCCCAATCTGATGTCTCTTATTGGTTTGATTCCTACCCTCATGTTATCTGTTTGTTATTATCATATGGGTGTGGTGGTTTCGATAATTTTTGTAATTTTTTTTTTCTGGGTTTTGATTATTGCTGGTCATTTGTTCATTCCTTGTTTCCAGATTATATAAATTTGTATGCTTTTTGCAGTTTTGAATGTGGGTACGTATTAAATTTTCAAAATTTTCCACTGATCAAAATGGTTTCAATGTTAGATTTTCTGATCCGTAATCAAATCATTATTGGGCATGTTTCATGTTGTTGGGTTGTCCAGTGTTGTGTTAAGATTTTTTATTTTATTATTTTCTGAATTGTTGGGTTATTTAAGTAGTGGGTAGTTAATTGAATTTTAACTTTCCTAAAGAATAAGTCATAGATATTAGTGGAGCCTATCTACTATTAGTGGGCAGTTATTTTTTAAGTTGTCTTGTATTATCTATTTAAACCTTTAGGTATTTGAATAAAGGTATCAGATCAGAATAGAAAAGTATCCCAAGAGGCACTTGTGCAAGAGGTCAGGCTTCCTCAGGTCAGACTTCCTCAATAAAGCCAAATTCCCATTTTTATTTATTGTGTCCGTAACAATTGGTATCAAAGCTCAGGCATGGACAAACACTTTCCGAAATTGGAAGACACAGTCCAGTCTTTGTCGGAGCAATTCAAGGAGATGTTCACCCAATTCTCCAACAGATTGGATGTCTTGGTGGCTAACCGGCCCAACACCCTCTCATCTGCTATTGAGCTGGAAAAACCATACGAGGCCCACAATCAGACGATCATCTTTACTGCTCAGAATATGCGACGGACCATAACAGTCATCAACACCAAGGGTCATCTTTATCCACTCCCACCAGCGGTGCGACATCTTTTGGCAGTGGCGCCTCCTCCACCGGTTCGACTCTCGACGCATTCACTCTTGGCCATCGCTGCAAACAATTGTTCACCATCCAAGCAGTGACAGAAGAGAGCAACGATGAGACGGTGTTTGACGAAAGTGAAGGAGAAGCGGATATTGAAGATGATTCAATTACTTGATGTTAAATTTACTCTTGAGGACAAGAGTTATTTTTAGGGGGAGGGAATGTTAAGATTTTTTATTTTTTTATTTTATTATTTTATTATTTTCTGAATTGTTTGGTTATTTAAGTAGTGGGTAGTTAATTGAATTTTAACTTTCCTAAAAAATAGGTCATAGATATTAGTGGAGCCTATCTACTGTTAGTGGGCAGTTATTTTTTAAGTTGTCTTGTATTATCTATTTAAACCTTTAGGTATTTGATTAAAGGTATCAGATCAGATTAGAAAAGTATCCCAAAAGGCAAGTATCCCAAAAGGCACTTGTGCATGAGGTCAGGCTTCCTCAGTAAAGCCATTTGAAGTTAGGCTTCCTCAATAAAGCCAAATTTCCATTTTTATTTATTGTGTCCGTAACATGTTGGTTCGAGTCACGTGTCTTATGGTGGGTTTTATATGTTTCATATGTTTCAATGAGTGAGCTGATTGGTGACACCCTTTGGTTTTCTCCAACATGGTGCTGACTTCTGTTGACATGCATTTTGTTTAATATGTGTCTCTCTTGTGATATGAAATTGCATGTTGTGTTCTGTGAAAGTTTGCTGTGCTTCTGAATGGTTGCTTCTTCAGTCATATTTGTCACAGTATCTTTGGGTGTCTTTTGTTTTCTGTTTTTGGTTCTTATGTGTGTGTTTTCCTTTATGGTCCCATTATCATGTTGTGGATTCTAAGCTTTGGCAGTTAAGATCTTGCAATTTATGGGTTGAAAATATTGTGTTTCAGAAGGCCAAGGGTGGAAACAGTTCTAGAGGTAGAGACACTTGCATTTTTGTGAATCTAGGGGGGGCGGGGTGGAGTTAGTTTTAAGGTTTAAGGTTTAAGGACTATCTTGGTAAAAGGGATGTGCAGCTGCAGGAGGAAGCAATGGAAAATTATTGGTCATGAGGCAAACCTGATAATTATGAAGGGAAACCTAGGACTACCAATAATTAATTAGAAAGTATTCAACAGTTTTTTTTTCTATCCATTTTACTTATATTTTCAGTCATAATGATTAGCGCACATTAAATCATTATGTAAGAAGCCAATGCCTGAATGATTTCCCTGCGAATGCTGATAGTTTGACCTTTGAACTCTTCAATACATGTCTTAATTGGACTTGCAAAAAAAAGTTGCTTTGTATATAGAACAGAAAACTTGAGAACAAGAGTAATAGCCACTTCACATTGCTCAATTTTATGGGATCAGATCATTTTAATCATAAATGAAGCAGTAGAAGAAAGGTAGATATTCTTAATTGTAGGAGGGTAATAGGAAATGGCTAGACATAAACCACCCAGATATAAATGGCTACTTGGAGATGATGATGGTCATGTCTGGGCTTAAAAGACAAGAACTACATGTTAATTAACATCATTTGGTAATATTTTGTCTCAAGTTTGCTGTTAATGATATGATATAAATCCGATTTATTATAGAGTGTAACGAAAGAAACTTGGTTGACAATCTATTCAGCATAGAGCCATAGAGCAGACTCAGTATAATGAATTTTTCTCATATGAAGTGGGATGATGTTCTTATCTTCCGTGATTATTTTTTTTATTGTATAATTTTTATTATATAATTTGTATTATACGTGTTTTGAAATTTTGGTGTCTTTTGCAGTTGTGGATCTTGTGGATACCCTTTGAACTTGACATCTTCAAATCGAATCACATCTGACATTGCATCTGAATATCAAAAGTCTGTTAAGAAAGGATCAATTTCTTTTGCTTCAGTTGATCTCAGCCGATTTACACAGGTTGATGAAATAAATTGTTTTCCCTTCTCATGGTTTTATCGTTCAAAGACTAAACTGCTTTGCCGTAAATGCGGGGTTCATATTGGTTATGGTTATGGTGGAGAATCACCTACTCTTTGTGGACTTGAGCCTCCAGTTTCGTCTAGCTCTCAGATAAAATTCACCATAAAGATTAGATCACTACAGCCTTCTTCAGAAGAGTCTTGAAAAGATTGACATGAGAGATCTTTCTAGAAATGATGGTACCTCCATCATGCATCTCCCAGATGATTGTCTTGCTATAATTTTCCATGATTTAGAAAGTTGCATTGATCGTGAATCATTTGGCCTGACTTGCCACCGATGGCTCCAAATTCAAAATGTCTACCGTCGGTCACTGCATTTTCAGTGCTCATTCAGCGTGTTAAATCCTTCATCTTTATCAACAAAGGGTTTTGACATTCACTCATTCCATCTCCATAGGTTGCTGAGGCGCTTTCAACATTTAGAATATTTATCCCTATCTGGTTGCAGTGAGCTCAATCATTCTGGATTGACCCGTTTGTTAAGTTATGGTTCAAATTTGCGAAAACTTAATCTTGATTGCTGTTTTAAAGTCACTGACTATGGGCTATCTCTGGTTGCTGCTGGTTGTCCCTCATTGATGACAATTAGTCTCTATCGGTGTCTCAATGTTACTGATAAAGGATTAGAGACTTTATCAAGTGCTTGCCTATCTATGAAATGTGTAAACCTCTCTTACTGCTCACAAATATCTGACAAAGGGTTAAAAGCTTTTACACAGTGGTGTCGTCAGCTCCAGTCTGTTAACATATCACATTGTGAAGGTATAAGTGGTGTTGGCTTTGAAGGGTGTTCAAAAACTTTAGCATATGTAGAGGCTGATTCTTGTAAGCTTAAGCCAGAAGGGGTCATGGGAATTGTTAGTGGTGGTGGAATAGAGTATCTAGATGTTTCTTGTTTAAGTTGGTCTCTTTTTGGGGATCCCTTGCCTGGAATAGGATTTTCATCAGGCCTCAAAATCCTTAACTTTCGGTTGTGCAGAACTGTTTCTGATACTTCTATTGTGGCCATTGCCAAGGGATGTCCACTACTTGAAGAGTGGAACTTAGCATTATGTCATGAGGTGAGGATATCTGGTTGGCAGGCAATTGGGTTATACTGCCAGAATTTGAAAAGATTGCATGTTAATCGTTGCCGCAACCTCAGTGATAATGGCTTGCTAGCTTTAAGGGATGGATGCAAAAGTCTCTCCATTCTTTACTTGAATGGCTGTGTTCGCTTGACATCTACTGCATTAGAGTTATTCAAGTTTCACAGAGCTAATGTTTGCATAAAGGAAATAGAGGTCATGAGTATAAAGCCTTACTTTGAGTTCAGATGATACTGGCTGATACATATTTATTAACTATCTAGGCATTAAATGTATTCTTTATCTTTATTTGTATAAATATTTTAGAACCTATGGATGTTTGGTTTTATACATTATTTAGAATGTCCTTGTATCATAAATATTCACATTATGGATTTAATTCTCTTTTTTGATTGGATGAAGGTCACTTGTACCCTTAAGGGGTCCCCATAATGACCCTTTAAATTTTATTTACATCCACCATGATAATGACATGATTTATTCCACCATGATAATGGCATGATTCCATTCACCATGGTAATGACATGATTCCCCATATTGGAATGAGGCAATCTACATTCCCTTCAAATTTTTTATTTACAAAAAGAAAGTTATTATGAAGGAAGAAAAATATAACTATGCATTTTTCAAAGATGATCAACTATTGCCAAGCTAATCTTGTAATTTAGTTTACAAATAAATATGTGAAGTAAAACAAACTACACACTAAACAGATGTGAAGTAAGAATTTGAAGGAGTGATAAAATGAAAGGTGAAAATTCCATACTTTAAATCCAGTGTTGACCAAGATTTTTAGTCAGTGACTTGTGCTATAAAGCGTCAGGGGACAAAAGTATAATAGAAGATGCATTTGGTAAATTTAAATATATCTCAAAATATTTTGTAGAGTATATTTGGTAAATTTTCTTAATGTAACATAAATTAATTGGAATACATCTATAATTTTATAAAGTATAATAGAAGATACGTTTAAAATTTTAAATGTATGATTTCATTTTTACACTTTTTTTCTTTGAATACATATTTTAATAGAAAAATCTATATTATATTTATGTTGACCATTAATAATTAATAATTTTATAAATGTTTTTATAATTAATAATTGATAAATTATTATTAAATTCCAATAAAATATAACCATTGATTGACGGAAATCAAATGTTAGGATTTGATGTCAAATTTCAAAGTCTGACATCGGTATCAAATGTCAAACTTTGAATTGACACCAAATTCTAACCGTTAATTTTCCCAATCAACTGTTATCATTTATTAAAATTAATAAGTTTGGTTGACGGAAATCATAATCGTTGATTGGAAAAAAATTAACGGTTAGGATTTGAGTGTCAAATTTCAAAGTGTTACTACTAAACTAATTACCGTTAATTTCCGTTAATCTGACGGTTATAATTTTTTGGGTCACATTTATTAATTAATTATTAATTCTAAAAAATTATAACCTTTGGATTGTCAAAAATTAACGATGTTTAGTTTAGTAATTAGAGTAGTAAAAGTTTTCAGTAATAAGTATAACCGGTCCTATATATATATAGGGGAGGGATCTTTTGACTCTAGAGTAAGACTTACAACTCTTACTCTCCATCTCAACCGTTGATTTTCGTCCATCTAACGGTTATCAATAACAATTAATTATTTATTTATTTCAAATAAATAATAACAGTTAGATGGACGAAAAACAACGGTTGAGATGGAGAGTAAGAGTTGTAAGTCTTACCCTAGAGTCAAAAGATCCCTCTCCATATATATATATATATATATATATATATATATATATATATATATATATATATATATATATATAAATGTTATACTTACAACCTAATTTTGTTTACAACCTCTTACAATCATATCTTAACCGTTGATTTCCGTCAATCAACGGTTAAGATTTTCTCAAATCAAATTTATTAAATTAATTATTAATTCACAATAAATGATAACCGTTGATGAACAGAAATCAACGGTCGCCATTTATAGTGTAATTAATAATTAATTAATTAATATAACTTCCTAAACTATAACCGTTGGATTGACAGAAATCAACGGCTAGGATGAGGAGTAAGACTTATAAGTCTTACTCTGGAGTCAAATGATCTATCTATCTCTCTCTCTATATATATATATATATATACGGGGCAAGATCTTTTATAGCAGAGGAAGAATAATAAATCTTACACCAAATATTAACCGTTGATTTTTCGTAAATTCAACGGATGTAATTTTTTGGATTGCATTAATTAATAAATTATTAATTTCCATTAAATTACAACTATCAAATATATGCAAAATCAAAGGTTAAAACTTTATGTAAGACTTAATATTCTTCTTACACTAGTGTTGGGTCACTGGTCGGACCGGTGGGTCACCGGTCGGACTGGTTGACCTGGATATATAGATATATAAAAATATGAACATATAAATTCAATTATATTTTTCATATCTAAAATGAATTAAACAAGGTTAATTAAATAAAGTCAAAAACATGAAGCATAAATAAATAAAAATGCATGTTATTACTATGTCAATTTAAATTGTAACTCAGAATCCCCATAAACATACCTCTCAATGACATTGAACTCGTATTTTTCAAATTCAACTACATTAAAAATGACATGTCACATTTTCTTAATTTATTATTCCGCAAATTGCTTCAGTATTGGAAGCTGAAATCTTAGGTTATTATAGAAGAGTATACTGACAAATAAAATTATAAAAAGTTTTTAAAATGAGTTCTACATTTTTTTTTGACAAGATGAAACAATTTTGGTTTTTCAGTTTGTTTTTTTTTTAATGTATGACCAGGCCGGGTCCCTGGGGGAACAGTGACCATTGTGCCACTGTTCACCAACTTTTTTATCTAAATGCCACGCGAACAATGTTATTTTCCAATCTGCCACGGGGCAAGTTCGCTTTTGACACAAGCGACCTCTGTTTGCTGATGTGTCAGTTTCCTGGTGGTGTCAGAGTTCGCTTCTGACACAGGCGACCTCGGTTCCAACAATATTTTAACCAATGGTAGGCGAACTTCATTTTTTTTAATTTTTTTTTTTAAAGTTAATACTTGTTATCCAGTAAAAATGTGACACATCAGCAAACCGAGGTCGCTTGTGTCAGAAGCGAACTTGCCCCCGTGGCAGATTGGGAAATAACACTGTTCGCGTGGCATTTAGGTAAAAAAGTTGATGAACAGTGGCATTTTGGTCAGGATCCCGTCCCTGGGTCACCGATTTTGACCGGGTCAATGGATGACCGGTCCAATGCTTGACCTGAACCGGTCCAATGCTTGGCCTGAACCGGTCCAATGCTTGACCTGAACCGGTCCATTGACCGGTTTACCGTGTTCTAGGTCGACCCGGACGGGTCGGGTCGAATTTTACAACTATGGGTGTAAGTTTATCCTATCTCTGTATATATAGGGACAAAATATATTTACCATCAAAAAAGTTTACCATCCTTATAATCAACCAAATCACCGTTGATTTTCGTTAATCTAACGGTTATAATTTATTGGATTTATTGAGAATTAATAATTAATTAATAAGAGCGACCCAATAATTCTCAATAAATTATAACTGTTAGATTGACGGAAATCAACGGTGATTAAGCTAGTTGTAAAGGTGGTAAACTTTTGCGGTGATAACTATATCCTTCCCCATATATATATATATATATATATATATATATATATATATATATATATATATATATACATATATGGCTTTAATGTTTCTACAGTGAATGTAGATAAGTTACCTACATTTGATCCCAAAATGACGTCGTTTTGGGTTAAAAAATTAAAAAAAATATAATAAAAAAGACTATTATAAGTTATAACCTTGAAATAAATTATAATTACAAAAATACCTTGATTTTCGTCTTAAAACGACGTCATTTTGGGCTCAATGTAGATAAGTTTCTACATTGACTGTAGAAAAAGCAAACCCTATATATATGGGAAAAATATTTCTGTAGTTAATGTAGATAAGTTATCTGCATTTATCCCCAAAACGACGTCGTTTTGATTTTGAAATCTTAAAAAATTATAAATATAAAGACTATTATAACCTTGAAATAAATTAAAATTACAAAAACATCATGCTTTTCGCCTAAAACGACGTCGTATTGGGCTTACTGCAGATAAGTTATCTGCAGTAACTGCAGAAAAAGCGAACCCTATATATATACATGAGATGTTATATTTACTATTTTTTTTCTTACTACCAAATATTAACCGTTAATTTCTGTAAGAAATTAACGGTTAAGATTTGATAGTAAAATATATTAAGAAAAAAAGAAATAGAAAAAAATATGGGGAAAGATATTGTAACAACCAAGTTGTGTTACTACCATGTTACTACCAATCAATCTCACCGTTAGATCGATTATGTGGATCCAACGATTATTTTTATTTTTATCTTTGTATGGTTATGATTTCTCAAATTTAATACTTTATATTAATCTCCATCTTTGTATGGTTATGATTTTCCATATTTAATGCTTTCACTTTAAATATGAGAAATCATAACCATACTAAGATGATAATAAATATGACCGTTGGATCAACATAATCGATCTAACGGTGAGATTGATTAGTAATAACATGATAACTTGATTGTTACAATATCCTTCCCCAAAAAATATAACCTCCCTATATATTTTTCTTTTCGTGAGACAAAACCTAAAACCCATTTCGACCCGACCCACCCAAACCAATCCCTTATATAGCAAAACATTGGCAAACAGTAATTTGCTCTCACTCTTTTTCGTCACTTTCTTGGAGGAGGAGATCGGGCTTCAGCAGTGGCAGACCCAGAAAATTTTATTTATGTCCGCACATTTAGTATCGAAAATTTGGAGGTAGTGCCCGAAATTTTTTTTTTAAGAAAGTTTTAAATCCACTAAAAAATAAAAGAATATAAAAAAACTTCAATTTAACAAAAATATATATAAAGTGATAGGTTTTATTATATTTATATTGAAATAGTAATCACTTATTCAATGTCAAGTAATATTATTATTTTCGGCCCGGTCTTTGACCCAGTCGAGGTACTAAGTTAATGGGTCACTGGTTAAATCTAATCTATAATTTATATTAAAAAAATTATAAAGATATTCAAATACCTATAAAAAAATATACCAATTAAAAATATTTTAATATAAAAAATAATAAATTACACATCTAATAAATATAACGAGACTTATTTTGTAACTTGAATGTTGCTTCTATAGTTGAAAACTTATATATATATATATATATATATATATATATATATATATATTGAAATATTTAAAAATCATATTATTTTACTGAATTAAAAATTGAGATAAAAATTTGTCAGTATAAGTTATTATTATAAAATTACATTTTAATAAAATTAAATTCAAGCATAAAATTTACTTTTGGGTGTGAAAAAAATAATTGTAACCGGCCCATCAAGTTAAAAAAGCATCGATCAGTTCTGTAAAACATTAAGTCAGGGCATTACTTAAGATTTGGTCCATTAAGCTAAAAAAAGGATTGAACAGGTCCAACTTTTACAAAACCTAATATTCACCATAACATTTCCATACACTCAGAGTTCTGTAAGCGGCCGCCGCCACTTCTTCTTCTTCTTCATTTCTTCTTCGTCGATTCTGTAAATTTTTTTTCTGTTTATGTCCGCACTTGCGGACATTGGCGCATAGGTAGGTCCGCCACTGGGCTTCAGCACAGAGCAATGGTGTGTATCTCCAATCTCTCTTGCTATTCAATTCTCCCATCTCTTCATTGCATGTTTCATCATTTCGTTTATGGCAGAACTTGAATTTCGTTTATTTGTTTGAGAAAAAACTTGTAGTCTTTAGATCTGTGTGTTGAGAGATATTTTCGAATCCGTAGTAGGGCTTAGTATTCATTCTGTTGATGTTTTATCATCATTTTAGTAATTCAATAGAGTAAAGAGTTTTTTGTGTTAGTTTTTGACTACCGATTCATTATGGAGTGTAATTCAACTATTTGTGTATGGCTATTCTTATATGCTTTTCATTATGGCTATCTGTGTGTTGAGAGATTAGCGATAACAACATTTTTCATTTTTTTTTTCTTTGTATTTTTTCACAGGCATTTATCAAGGCTCAGAAATCAAGGGCTTACTTCAAGAGATACCAAGTGAAATTTAAGAGAAGAAGAGGTGTTGTAGTTGTTTTCTTCATCCACTTTGTGTTTATTTATCACGCCTGATTTATTTACGACTTTATTATTTACTGATGAATGTGCAGAGGGAAAGACCGATTACCGAGCCAGGATTAGGTTAATCAATCAAGATAAGAACAAGTACAACACCCCAAAGTACCGCTTTGTTGTTCGTTTTGTATCCTTCTGTTAGTCTGTAATTTATTTTTGTCTTATTGGCATTTAAGTGGCAACACCTCAAAATTCTGGCCACTTTTTTTTTATGATTTTTATTTATTAATAGTCAATGCTGGTTAAGCATAGAATTTGAATATTACATTTGAAAATTGAAGTTGTTTTATCTGTTGATGTTTATCTGTGAGTACAAACCTTAACCTCATAACTAGACCAACAAGGATATCGTTGCACAAATAATATCTGCTAGCATTGCCGGTGATATTGTTCTTGCTGCTGCATATGCTCATGAACTGCCCCACTTTGGTCTTGAAGTAGGCCTTACAAACTATGCTGCCGGTACATTATGAGAAAATCCTGTATCCTCCTTTCATTTGTGTCAATCCTTTCATCCTTTCTCTCTTGTTATTGAATATTTTAAAATCTGACCAGCTTATTGCACCGGACTCCTCTTGGCTCGTCGAGTCCTTAAAAAGCTTGAAATGGACGAGGAGTATGAGGGGAATGTTGAGGTAACTATGAATTTGTTATACTCTTATCTCAAAGTATCTTCTTCTCATTCTTTGTAAGATAATTGGCTGTATCCTTTTTATTAGGCTACCGGAGAGGATTTCTCTGTGGAACCTGCTGATTCTAGGAGGCCATTCCGTGCTCTCCTTGATGTTGGTCTTATTAGGACCACAACTGGCAACCGTGTCTTTGGTGCCCTGAAGGTACTCAATATTATACTGCAATTCTAATGTGAATGATTTTGCTTTAAGGATGCTCAAATTGAATAATTGCGATGCTTTTCAGGGAGCTCTTGATGGGGGTTTGGATATTCCTCACAGTGACAAAAGGTTTGCTGGTTTTGATAAGGAGAAGAAAGAACTTGACGCTGAGATTCACCGCAAATACATCTTTGGCGGACATGTTGCTGCCTATATGAAGGCATGTGCAAAGATTTTATTTGATGCACTTCTGTTAGAATTTTCAGTGCAATATTATGAGTTTTCAGACATGTGTTTAACAACCTCTTTATATTTTCTACAGACCTTGATGGAAGATGAACCTGAGAAATACCAGAGGCACTTTCCGGAATACATCAAGCGAGGAACTGAGGCTGATGGACTTGAGGAGTTGTACAAGAAGGTTCATGCTGCCATTCGTGCAGATCCCACAGAAAAGAAATCTGAGAAGCAGCCACCAAAGGAACACAAGAGGTAAGTTATTATGATATTTCAGCTATACTTTTTCTTAAGAAATTTGTTTTGATGTGTTTGGTTGACATGAACAATATGGTTTGAAGATTTTAAGTGGAGGGGAAAAGAAAGGAATAGTAAGCAGGGGAATTGATGAAGCTTAAAGTAAGAAAGGGAATGGAGGGGGATCCCCCCTCCCCACCCCAAAAAAAGAAAAAGAAAACTCAAATTTATTAGGCTTAAGAACTTTGAGCCTTGAGAGCAGGGAATCATTCGCCCATTTAAAATCTTCCAAACAAGGGATTGGGTTGCTTTTTTACTCCTTTCCCTTTCCATTCCTAACCTCATTCAAGCATAAATTTGATTTGTTAACTTCACCATATTACTTACTGAGTGGAGATTCCTAAGAGTTTTCCTTTCAATCTTCTCTGCAGGTACAACCTGAAAAAGCTTACCTATGAGGAGAGGAAGGCTAAGTTGATCTCACGCTTGCAAGCTCTTAACTCTGCGGCTGAAGCCCCTGAAGATGATGATGAGGATGACGACTGAAAATGCATTTTGTATGCAGAACTAGTGATGCATATGTAGAACTTATCCTCACTGGCATTTGGAGAATCATTTTCCTGAGAAGTTTTGTTGCTTGTACTATTTCTTTTCTAGATTAAAATTTTGTAGACTTTTTTGGGTCAACTTTGAGTAAGCCTGGATTGATGTGTTTTAACTAAAATTTTCTGTTGCACTTTTCTATAAAATTATTGTTCATTTCAGCTCGTGGTTGATGTCTTTGGTAACATGGCACTTCTTTATATTCTGCTTCCTCGTTGTAGGGTTGGATAATAAGCTGGGATTCAATTTTCTATTTAAGTCAACGAATCCTTAGAGCGTTCTAAATAAACCTCTAGAGTGTTTCAATGCTAGGAGTTATTTTGAGGCAGCTGGGTCTATTAAGTACAAGCGTCACGTTGTGGCCGTCACCTTTAATTTTGAATACTGCCTTTTAAGCAGGGGTGGTCATCAACCGATCCAAATTGATTCAAATCGTGATAATCGAATAAAATGAAAATAAAAAAATTGAAAATAAATAAAAATCGTAAATTTTAATTGGATTGGATTAGTTTTCGGATTAGTTGATGAAAATTGATCAATCTAATTCAATATATCAATTTCCCTTTTATCTACTCGGGTCTTTTTCAATCATAGTTCACATCTCATCAATAGAATTTCATCTCTATAAAGTTTCATATTTCATTGTCCAAAAAAAAATTATATTATCGTTTACTGATGTTTTTGTGTTTCAGAAAAATAAATAAATTTACAAAGCCAATATATACAAAAGATGTTAGTTGCACAATAATCATGAAACAAATTTTAAGATTTTCAAAAAATCGAAAACTGATCCAATCCAAACCGAAAAAAATTGGATTAGATCGGATCGGATTTGAAAAAAAATTCAAACCGAATGGCCGAATGGATTAGATTGAATCGGATCGGATCTGAAAAAAAATTCAAACCGAATGGATGATTACATGCTTCCAAAACTGATCCAATCTAGATCGCGAATACCTGGAAGGGATGTAATTTCGACTCAATTCTGATGGTTGTTTTATTTACAAGTGATGACCATGATTTTCATTTAGTCTTCAAGTATCTGAGTGAAATAAATTGGAATGAATGTTACCCAAATTGAAGTATAGGGTATGAACCCAAATTGAAGTTTCCTCGAATCCAATATATGAGATGATGGTAAACCTCGGCTGCTATTTATGTACTATACTCAAGCAAATTTTAGCCAGAACTCCATCGTTTATAGAAAGGTTCGTTTAAGTACCCTCGATTAGGAGTATCCTCTCCAATGCTCCATCCAATCTTTGAAAAATGATAATAAGGATAAGTTAGTTGGACAAAATGCATGACGAGGTCAGCTTCTTAAACAACTATTATATTTGCCCACACCGAGGTTAAATTCATCTTCCACACTCCTACAATCACGAGCAATAAGAGCTACAATACCTCAATTTCCTAGTTTACTGATATTGGCATTCACGTTTTCTTCCAGAGAGATGTTAGGCAGAACAAAGTTATTGTTTTCCATGGCTCCTATGTTTGGAGCTAATACACAAGTTGAGAAAAGGAGGCACATAAACTTGTAAAACTATAAGGGTGAGGAGGTGAAAGTGAAAAAGAAAATCGAGGGAACACGAATAGATTTAGACAAGTGGAAAAACAGGAATACTAAATGCATGTTTAGCACGGGAGAAATTTTTTATTACTGAGTAAAAAAAATTCTCGGAATAAGAAATTTGTGCCCGGGTAAGTTACAAAAAAATGTTTGATAGACAAATATTTTACCAGGAAAGTTGAATTATTTTTACTAATGCTTTATTTGATTAATAGTGAAATATTGATATAAATGTGTAATAAAATTACCCACTATAGACTTTTTCAAACAAGTACTCGATAAAGACTTTTTGAGGGCATTTTTGTCTACAAATAGTAAAAAGTGTTTCTCTATTCTTGGATTTAAAAAATATCACACTTCAAATGACCAATTTTTTTTTCCCATTGCTTAGTTCAAAACAAAAGTCATGAAAAAAAAATAATATACTAGTTTTTTTATAACTTTAAGACATATCAATCATGGTTAATATATTTTGCCTAGCCTACTTTCCCAATATTCCTATTAAATTCTCCATATCAAACACCCCCTTAAAAGTCGGTTTGTATAGACTTTTTTTTTCTCCAAAACAATTTTTTTTTTTTTTAGTAAAAAAGCACTTACCATGAAAAATCTGTTTGGATGCCTGCTTTTTTTAAAAGATAAAAATTTTAACTTCTAAAAAAAACAGAAATCAAAAGCCAAATATTTTTATCAAAAATGAATTTAAAAAAAAAAAAACTAAATAGCTTTAGCTTTTATTAAAAGCACTTTTAAAATAAGGCATAAAAACTTTTTTTAAGGCCATCCAAACGGGTTGACTCGTCCTCTGCATACATGTCAAATATAGTGAGTGATATTTAATGAATATCTTAAAACTATTCTATTCAAGTTTCTAACTCCAAGACACCCTTTGATGGTCTGGTAGCCTACAAAATTCATAATTAAGTAGAGACTCTCCAAAACTTAAGCCTATAAACTATAGATTGCACCAAAAATATAGATGAATACCAGATAAAGCTCCATAAAATACACATGCAATCTACTCAAACCAACAGATGGCCAACACCATCAACTGCAACAAGTTGACTAAACCCATGTCCGTGCATATTACAATTTCATATTGCTAAGAAGGCAGTAAAAATCTAAGGTTCATTCATTCAAATAAAATTCTATAGTAATGACCTATGCTCAAACAGCTATTTCATAAATAGATGGTTCATATCACACTGTTGTTGAACATAACAGTGGTTCAATCAATCCAGAAAGTTATCCCGTCAAGACGAATGATCAAGAGCTTTTAAAGTCTCATGGACTGCCGAAAAATCAAGGTCTCCCAACCCCAAGCTTCTGGCTTTCTTGAAAGCCTAAAAACAGATTTTGAACTTCAGTACCTTACAAAACTTCTATGACAAGTCATTAAGCAAAAAAAATAAAAAAAAAATATATCAAATAAAAAAAGTGTTTCATCATTTTTTATTTTGCTGATTTATGAAGAAACAAATGAAGCGTGTTGATCATCATCAGTATAACTTTATGGCCCTGTGAACCATTGAAGTAACATGCACCAAAAAAGAGTTTCAATTATTTACGGATGAACTTTTGATAACATGAATCATTACAGCACCAACAATATGAATATTTTATTGGAAGATCAAATCACCATATGGCATATGCAGTTCACGGAACTGGTGTTAGGTTAAGCAGAATCTTCCACTATTGAATAATTTTAACTGATTAATACTTTTGTAAAATAAAATCAATTTAAGCTTGTGAAGAATGCTTCTGTCTCTGGCAGGTCTGGAATATATAATATGGAAGTCAACCCAGATGTTCCATTGGATTGGTCAAAGGTTCACTTGGTGGATAAGTTACTCCTTTTCTAGTTTAGAAAACAGAAACTACCCTCCTGTGGCTCAGACACTTTCAATTGCTTAGTTTATGTTTCTTGCAATCACCTTCATTAGCCCCATGCCCCCATCATGTGCAGGATTATCATAAATGGAGGTACACCAGGAGCATCTCCCAGGTTAGTCGTAAAGGGGAGGTACAAATAGTTTCTAAGTGAAAGACACTAGCCCAGTAGCTCACAAATAAGTTTCCTAGAGCTTGGTTTGGTAAGTTTAGTAATGTTTTGATTTCAGTACTAAAGAATGTGAGTTGCTCAACGGTTGATAAATACTCCTTGTTATAGCGATATGTTATGATCATGGACAATAGTAGTACTTACAGAAGTTAAATTGTCTCTATAACAGACCCTTCGAACTCAAAGGATGCATGTTATTATTTGTTTATTAAAATGGGAATATTAGGATCCACCAACTGATAAACATGATCTTTAACACCTAACTTGAAATTGATCAGAAAGAGTAGAGATTTGATGCTTAGACTACATGAGGTTCGTAGAGTATTGATTTGATCCTTAACTACATGAGATTCATTCTTCCTTGGCAATCTGAATAATCTAAATCATCACCTGGGCAAGTAATGCTACTTACACAACCTTACTTCACAAACCACAGATGTAGCTGCATCTGAGTTTGACAAGGAAAAAAAGCATTTAAGTGGGGTTACTTATTTAGATGCATTCACGTTAGTAGTCTATGCACGACTTACGACTGTTCACTGGGATTGAAGTCATGTGAACTAAAGAAGCATTTTCTGATTGTGTCATTTTTTGGCACAGAAAGAAAATATGATAAAAATAGTATTACCTCATTTGCTGCAGCTGCTACAGGCATTGATACAGCATTATCATCTCCAAGGGCAAGAGCCAATCTCATGTCCTTCTGCTGATGTTTCAGTGGAAAAGCTGGGGAGTAATTGTTTTGGAGCATTGTAGGTCCTTTCAATCTAAACATTGCGTTACTTATGGCAGCAAGATCCTGCACAAAAATATCCCAATCATGCTTAGACCAATAATAAAAGGTATCAATAAGAATCTTCCAGGTCACAATCACTTACCAGCACTTCAAGAAGAGTTTCAGGGCTCAAACCACTTCTTCCAGCTAGTGTGAGTCCCTCAGAGAAAGCATTCATCATACTGTAACGGACATAACAGACAGAATAACTAATTTCCATACCAAGACAGAAAATATGGACATACAATCAGTCTGGCTTGCAATCTGGAGGAATATCTTGTTTGCAGATTCATAAAATGCTCTAAACTGAAGTTGGGACAATCCCCCTCCCCCATCCCAAATAAAAAAGAATAGAAGAAAAAAAGGGGAGGAAAAGATCACCTGCCCATAATCATGTTAACCACAAGTTTCATTTTTGCACCGTTTCCAACCTCACCCAGAAAGAAAGACTTCTTCCCCAGTACATCAAATGCTGGAAGTGCTTCCTCATACAATGCCTACATATAAAAAGAATCAACCACTAAAATTTAGTATACAGTTAAATACTACTTATACATACAGTTCTATATTTTCCTCAAAATGCAGTAGGTCATAACAAGGAATATGTATGAGAGCACTTATACACATGGATCTATCAACAAAATCCAACTTCATAACTATGCATTCAATTTCAACAAACAACAGACAACCATGATAGTAATCCTGCAAACAACGGATACATTTATCCAACATTTGTAGAGTAACATTTAAAAATACCTTATCCCCAGCAGCAAGTATTACTAGTTGGCCATCTTCTGCAGGCTTCTTGCTACCTGAAACAGGAGCTTCAAGGAAGTAACCACCTTTTGCTTTGATTGCCTGTAGAAATCAGGTCTGTCAATTGAAACTCGTCTATAAGGAATTCTTTCCATTTCCGTTTGAAAAGTTGATTATAAATGCAGAGCATCAGCTTATGCATATAGCATGGACAAGCCAAGATAGATACTACAGTGAACTTTTGTTTCATACATGCAGCACATAGCTAAAGAGAACTAGTAGATATTCAAACATTAATTTTTTATTTTTTTTTTGGATAAAATAGCAGATATTCAAACATTCCACAGCGAGAATCAGTGAATAATATAGTATATAGATTTCCCATTCCTATTTACAAGATTATGAAAGCTTACTGTAGACTTCCCCGCTAACTAAACTTCCTTGGAAGCAACTTTTAATGGCCAAATTCCAAATAATGACCATAGTCATATACTTATAATTAGATAAAAATCTGTGATGATTAATGCTAGAAGAAGTCCCCAACATGCAAATTACAAAATGTATTTACATCATTCTTATTTCAATCTAGGAAGAAGAGAGAAGAGGGAGGATTTTGGCAATATTTCTAAGCTATTAAATACTTAAATAAAAAATACGGGAGAATCAATAATGAAATGAAATACAGAAACATAGGAAATAGCTTGAGCAATATGAATAACGATGTCCTGCAACATTAGCAATTGCAGTCTCTCTTTTACTTACAAGTTTCTTTTTAACAACAGGGAGCAATAGAAAATTTTAGAAAAGTACCTTCACACATGACTAGGTTTTACATAAATCACAAGCAAAATAACTCTCAAACTGAATAAAAGCAATTTTAATGAATATTAAATGAAGGGGAAACGCATTTTAACATCAGCAGGGTAATACAAACCTCAGATATCTTGGAAGATGTATCAGCATCAACAGTTGACATGTCAATATAACCTTTTCCATTAGCTTGCTCCAGAACACCATCTTTATCAAAAACAACCTAGAAAATTACCATAAAATGGAATTCAAGTAAGAGCAAATAAAGCAGTTGCATGTCAAAAATAATATTCACAACCACTGACCGATAAAGCAGCTGGAGGATCAGATAACATTGCAATTGTATACTTGCATTTCTTGACTACAGCTGCAGGGGTTTCTCCAACTGAAGCTCCATGTTTCACAAGTTCATCACACTACAATTACAGATAGCAAAAGACACACGTTAGGATTATCCAGAGTTCAGAGCACAGGCCAAATTATTGATTATTCAAATTAAAAGTTGGTCAAGCTTAAACTGAGTTTTTAATAGTATATAAAGTACATAAGTTTCTAAAATTACTCTACATAACTTTATCTAATATTCATAAAAAATACGTAAAAAAAAGTGTATTGGGCCCATGTTTTCTTTTTCTCTCTCTTCTCTTCACATGAGTCCACATGTACCCAACACACATTTTTTGTGTAAAGTTATCTAAAATAACTTAAGATACTTTAAACCCAAAATTATAATATCCAGATTACAAGCTATATTTTCTCTCTGTAAGGTGGTCAACAGAATACACAAATTTGTAATCCCACTCATCTGATATTATCTAAATAATGGTTCAGCATATAACTTTCTGGATATCTTTCTAGAAGTACATGATGATAACACAAGAGAATAAACTATGTTATGGAACCAAAAACAAAAACAAAAACAAATTAAAATAAAAAGTGCAAAAATTATCGAAACAATAATATTATAGAAAGAAATCATCACAAGGCTGGACACACACACACTATTGAAACTGATAGTGAAAACTAAGAGGGAACAAGACAAAAGTAGATACCTTCGAAAGAGTCCTGTTCCAAACAGTGACCTTGAAGCCATGGCGTAGCAGGTTAATGGACATAGCCTTCCCCATTATCCCTAGACCCAAGAACCCAATCTCCATCTCTCTCTCTCTCTCTCTCTCTCTCTCTCTCTCTTCAATTCACTTTTGATCTCACAGTCTCACTGTTCCCTTCTTCTTCCCACTTACCTTTATAACACAATTTAGTTTTTGTCTAATTATTACTTTATTTTACTATTATTATCTGATAGAATTATGATATAATAAAACATATAAATTAAATTAAAAATAAGTGTCACATGTAAAAATTATAAATATTATATATATTTTGTGTATACAAAGGGAAGCGAATATATCATATTTTTAAGGAAAAAATATTTGTATTTTTATTACAGAATTTTTTTTTTATATCATACTCACATAAAAATGAATATATTTCATTACAAGGAGAAAATAGAAAAAATATTAACAGAATTCATTTATTTTTATATGAATATGACAGAATTTTTTTTTTTAAAGAAAAAGTAGAAATATTAACTCTATTGTTCTCAACATTAATTCCTTAATCTTAATAAAAATTGGCCTTTCATTGTCAAGACTCACAATGATATCCTTGTCAGCTATCCTCAACCAATTGGTATGATTAGAATTATAACTTGTGAATGTGTCATAAGACACATGTCTATTACCAACATTGGATTGGAAATCTAACTATTTAATAAAGTATTAATCATCATTGAATGATAATTTTCAAAACTTTTTACTAATCCTATATTAAATTTAAAACTCCAAAAGAAAGCAAATAAATATTTTATACTGAGAGTAAATTAAAATTAAATTCATTATTGAAATTTCAAAAACATTCAAAATACATATTTCAATATTCTTTTTCAAAACATAATAAGAATTGTCTCAATTTTGAATCTTAGTGATCCTTTTGCCTTTGTTTTTTTTTAAAAATTACCACTTTCCTCTCTTTCCAAACTATATACCACGAGTAACTAGGCAAAACAACTAAAATTTTCAAATTTGGATCCACAGATGTTTTTGATTCAAGATGTTTTTGATTCAAACCAAGTTCCTAAAGAGTACATGCATAAATGAATTTGGGATGGATATTTGCAGGTTCAAAATAATTGAGGATAATCTAATCTTTATCTAAGCTTTTTATATTCTATAATTGTGTAAATTTTAAAAGGGGATAACTTTTGGTTCAAATTAATTTTTTTTTTGTCGTAACTTTCCCGAAAGGGATTTGGCTAAATTTTATCCCCAAAAAATACTTTCTTCATGGGTTTTGAAAATGAAAAAGTAAATAGACATAAATCTTTAAAAACAATACTACATAAACATAAATATGTATATAAAACTTACTTTAATAAATTTAGCTTATGATATAAATAGTTTGGAGGAAGATTGTCCTCAAAAGCAATGCCCAAATAGTTAAGCACACACAAATTGATATATAGTCACAGTGAGATAAGATATTCTTATTATCAATTTTTTTTTATTATCACTCTAATTATCATTGTATTCAAAAATTATTTTTCTTTTCTCTCTTTTCATTTAACTTTTTCTCTAATTCAATGATGATTAGAGTAATAATAGAGTGATAATAGAAAAAATTGGTATTAAAAATATGGGTTATACTTATATAATGTTACATAAAAAATACTATTTGATCCTACACAAACATAAAAGAAGAGAGAGAAAATGAGTTGAGGAAAGAGAAAATAAAAAATTGTGGACCCCACGTCTATTTGTTTGAGTAGGAAAAGAAGCTTACATCATGTTACATAATAGATGTATTTCCCTAAAAATATTAAAATTAATATATAATTTAAAAAAGGGGGACAAAGTAATAAATTCAAAAAAAATGAGGGCACAATCAATCCCACTTTTGCAGCTAGCTATGTATCAATTCAAATTTTGAGGTGGAGGCAGCACTACCGCTTTGCATACCTATTTCTGAACATGTATCAAGGTAGCATCATAGGAATAGCATAACACGAGTTGAACAACAACATTGGATAGTGAGAAGTGTTGTGAAACCATTTATGTTTTTGAGTTTACCATCACAATCACCCTCACAACTAGTTTCCAACATGTCTGAGAAGAAAACGAGGAGTACGAGGAGGAATGGTATTGGGGTCAGAAAAAAGGCACAAACTTTGGTGGAAGTTGAAGACATAGAGGATGCAGTGTCCTTCACCAAAGACGAGACACATAAACTGAGGGTGGCTCTATTGGATTGGTATGACCATAACCGCAGGGACCTTCCTTGGAGAACCACCTTAAACCATGAAGAAGAAGAAGAAGAAGTGGAAAAGAGAGCTTATGGGGTGTGGGTCTCCGAGGTTATGCTGCAGCAAACAAGGGTTCAGACTGTTATTGCCTATTACAACCGTTGGATGCAAAGATGGCCCACCATTCACCTTCTTTCACTGGCTTCTCTTGAGGTTTTCTGCTCTCTCCTTCCATTTTTCTTTATAAAAATTGTTTTTTTTTTTTTTTTTTTTTTTGTCTTCTGCAATTTGGAGGGTTTAGGTGACATGCTGTGATGTTAAATTGTTAGGAAGTTAACTTGAATGCAAATGTTGTGTTGATATATTTGGGTTATGAAAAATGAGAAAATATTGTACTTTGATGCTATGATGTTAACAAGTTGTGAACTTTAGTGCTTCTATTGAGGTTTTCTGGCCTCTCTTTCCTTTTTTGCTTATAAAAGTTTTTTTTTTTAATATGTATATGTATATGTATATTTTTATCTTCTCTGACTCCAACTAGTTTGAGATAAGTGTGATGTTAATACATGATGAAGATATTTTTTATCTTCTGCAATTTGGAGGGGTAGTTGAGATGCTAAGATGTTACATTGTTTGGAAGTTGTGGACTTCAACGCAAATGTTCTGTTAATCTGTTGTCAAGTCCCTCTTTTCTTTCTTTTTCTTGTTTTTTTTGGTTATGAAAATTGACAAAATATTATACTTTGATGTTATGATGTTAGCAAGTTGTTATCTTTATTGCTGATGATTTGATGTGATGGTTCAAAATTCCAGTTGATATTTTGTGAGATTTGATTGGTGTATTTTAACAAAATGTGATAAGGTAACTCATTGCAAGATAAGCAGGAAGTAGCTGTGATACCACTACTTCGGGATGGTTGATCTTTACTTCAATAATTGTGGCGCTGTTTTTTATCATCAGAGCCAAGATTTGACCTGAAATGAGATCTAAATCTATCTTCTGATACAACAACAGCTTGGCATAACTGAAAGTAGGAATTTATGAATAACAGTTGTGCAAGAAAGGCTGTTGGAGGTTTCTGAAGGCAAAGTGGGCTAAACTTAAGGATAGAGCTTGTAGAATTTTCCAGGACATATAGGAACCTCTGTACCCTTGATTTGTTTTTATGTGCTTTGGCCTATATAGATAGCAATAGCAAATTTGATTCCTTTGTGTGCCTGTATTTAAAAGTACTTGTTATTTGTAGACTCATTGTGTCCTCACCATGCCATTGTTGTCATCTTTGTGCAGGAAGTAAATGAGATGTGGGCAGGTTTGGGCTACTATCGAAGAGCCCGTTTTCTTTTAGAGGTCCTCTCTCATTACAACATTGAATTTCATTACTCTCCATTGTTTATCTTGTTTCTTCTTTAAGATTTATCTAAAACCTGGAGGGAAAGGCATATTTTTTACTACATCCTACAAGTTTCCCTAGTAACAAGTTGGAGCCCGTTTGAATTTCTAATGGCTAATATGGGTGTTAAACCTTCATCACTTTATATTTTTTTGCCTTCTTAGTAAAAACAGCTAAAAATAGCGCATATAGTGCATGCATCAAAATCTCATATAATGGATATTGCCAAACATAGCTTTAATGGAGTAGCAGGAGTTTGTTTTGATCAAAATCTTGAGTTTCCAATCAAAAATCAAACCATTGCTTCTGCTTTTGATCTCCTCAATCTTGTATTAAGAATAATGAGAAGGTAATTCCTACTTAAAGAAAGTAAAGAGATAGATCAATAAGAGAAAAACATGATTTACTTATGCCAACAGTGCTGCAAGGTTTGACAATATTCTTTCCATTTCTTCTGTTAGGGGGCAAAGAAAATAGTTGCAGAAGGAGGCAGGATTCCTAAAGTGGCTTCTATGTTACGAAAGATTCCTGGAATTGGAGACTATACGTCTGGCGCAATTGCCTCTATAGCTTTCAAAGAGGTGGGGAGTTTTGTGATTTTGGTTCCTGAAAAGTATCCTTGGCTATTGCTCATGCATTAAATTATCAGGTGGTACCTGTTGTTGATGGAAATGTGGTAAGGGTGATTGCTAGACTAAGGGCTGTTTCCGCAAATCCAAAAGACTCAGTAACCATTAAGAGATTTTGGTGAGTTTATGTGAACTTTTAGAACAAATTATTCAACATTTTTATCGCATCAAAGAATCTTAACTATGCTTTAACATATGTGGAGAAATGCTTTTTTTCTTCATTTTTTAATTTAAATATTTTGGTATTTCAATTCTCACCAGATATTCAAACCTGATTAATAAATAATGGGAAAATTATAAGTTTTTTCATGCATTATATAACATCTATATTTATATTTGCAAAGAAAATAACAATAATTACCATTATGAGTAGTTAGAAAATCATATCTGATTTTTTCTTGCCTTCCTTAGGCACAACTAATGAGGAGACACATACATGACATGAATAATTCAAAAGAGTGAGGATTGAGTTTCTTATCTGACATGATTTGCTTCTAAATAAGGTGTCTTCTTTTATTGGCCGTGCTTAAAGGCACATGTAAAGAATCAATTCAACTTAAAAACTTAAGCTCTTAGGTGAATGCCACATTATTGATTTTATATTTATCTAACACTACATAGGAAAGGTACACATGATAGGCTGTGGGTACACCGTGTTTTTACTGCTTTATTATTGGCAGAATCTAATTATTTTATAATCAGGGCTTATTCTTTTTCTTTACTTTCTTTTTTCTTTATTTGGAATGGAGATTAAGGAAATTAGCAGCTCAGTTAGTGGATCCTCTTCGTCCTGGGGACTTCAATCAGGCTCTCATGGAACTTGGGGCAACTTTATGTACCCCTTTGAACCCAAGCTGTTCCTCATGTCCAGCATCAGAATTTTGTCATGCACTATCAATTGCAAAACATGACAGTACAGTAGCTGTTACAGATTATCCTGTTAAGGGTGTGAAGGTTAAACAAAGATCTGATTTTTCTGCTGTATGTGTTGTTGAGTTACTTGGAGCTGAAACATTGTCAGATGAAAATCAGTCTACCAGTAAATTTATTCTTGTAAAAAGGCCCGATGAAGGATTGCTTGCTGGTCTCTGGGAGTTTCCATCTGTCTTGCTGGATGGAGAAACTGCTCCATTGGCGCGAAGAGAAGCAACAAATTGTTTCTTGAAAAAAGTTCTCAAAATTGACATCAGAAAGACTTGCAATATAGTTTTGAGGGAAGATGTTGGGGAGTTTGTTCACATTTTCAGTCACATTCGTCTCAAGTTGTATGTTGAATTGCTAGTGTTACAGTTGAAAGGTTCGAGTCTCTTTCTATATGGCATTGCAATTTACAAGTTGGATTAGTCTTACTCTTTATTGTTTCTCCAGATCACATTTACTTTACTTAAATAGGTTATTCTGGATATTCATAACATATTATCATTATCAAATAGTGACAAACGAAATTTTATTACCTACTCATTGAAAGTAATGAAACCTTGAATTTCGCTATAAGGACCATGAGCATCCAGGGGTTTAGCCAAAAGTTCCTTACTTCCTTGCATCTCAATGAATATCAATGGACATGCTACTATTATATCTTTGTTTCTTCAACTTCCCAGTCATAATTTTAGTCATAATACAGCTCATAGTTAAGAGTGTCACAAGTTACTTGTATTTGGAAATTGAGCGAGTTGGTAACTAATCATCTTTTGACTGGCAGCTATTTTGTATTCTCATATCTTTGAATTCATCTAGTATATGAGATTCTGTGGTTTAAAGAAGACTCTAAAAACTGGTCTGCATTCTGGAATATAGCCTATAGATGGGCATAAATATGAATAAAACTAGGTTGTCAGTAGCAGCCCGTAGCGCCGCTAAACCGCTACCGTAGCGGGTAGCGGCGGTCGGCCGCTATAAACTGCGACGCTACGCAACTTTGGCCGTAGCGGAAGGTAGCGGCGTAGCGTAGCGTCAATATTGCTACCCGTTACACCGCTACACCACTCCCATGTTGGAGTTTGATGGAGAATCCGGAGATGATGATGATTTTCTTCATTAGTTCACTTCTTGTACTTGACTATTTGACAATTTTATTGTTCATTTGTGTTTAATTTTGGATCCTTCTTTTATGTTCCTTGTATTTGACATTGATTATGAATAATGTGTTTGATTTTGTGTGACTTCTTATGTTTGAGCATTAATACTAAAAGCAGTATTGCCTCGTATCTTGACTGTTAGTATAATATATGTGGAACTAATACTTCACCGTAGCGGCAATACCGCTACCCGCTACACCGCTATACCATTTTCGGGGTCGGCCGCTAACTGCTATTGACAACTATGGAATAAAATGATAACACTTTACACATCAAGGCTACTTTTCTGTACTAATGTTAATTTTTTCTTCTGCAAGGGGGAGTCCATGATTTGTTCAAAAGCCAGGACAATGAAACTACAACCTGGAAATGTGTTGACAGCAGTTCCCTTTCAAGTATGGGACTGACAACCAGTGTAAGAAAGGTAGTATGCTGCTGCACTTAGCAACATACTTGAATAGCTTTGAAATAGCCATGTGAAACACAATTGAGACTTCTGTTTATATGTTCACATTGAGTGACTTCTATGATGCTAGCGGGGTATAAATAAAATGTATCAGCCCTCCTTTTAGTTCTATGATTTTTTTCCATTCAAATTATATGTTGCAATGTGTGTCTTGGCAAGTTAGAAAGCAATTGATCATTCTGTATATTTTGTGCTGTAGCAAGAGAATTTTAGCTTCTGTAGAGTTAAGGATTGAATTTGAAGTTTCTTAATATTCTTCTTGCTTATATCTTGATACCGTTTTTTGGTATCTTGAAATTTTTATACTATTGCAGGTATACAACATGGTTCAAAAATTTAAGCAGAAAAGTCTTCCGTCCAACCATGTGCCAACCAAAAAGAGAAATAGAACTACCAAGAGAAACAAGTCTAGTTGAACCAGATTTGCTGCATTGTGATTATTAATTTGCTGTATTTAAACTGAAAAACGGTGAAATACTTTTCTTGCATTTTATTCTTAATAGACTGCATTGTTAATTGTGTAAGGTACTTTTCTCACAGTATTTGCAGCAATATGTGATATTTATGGTTTTGAATATCTTTTTTATACTGTTATGATTCTCAGTAACTTTAAGGTATCAATGTATGTAAATTTTTTGGATTTCATGACCCTAATGATTCCTTTGGGACGAGTTAGGGCCTGGTATTTTCATGATCTGAATAGCAAAAGGGTTGTATGAGACTAATTGACGTGATTATTATTCAGCTCTAACTTCAAAGATTCTTTTTAGAATTTAAATCTCTGCTCTTTTGGCTGTTTGTTCATTCTCAGGCTTATATTACCACTTGAGTCAACTTTTGAGATTAATATTTGTATTAGAGAGTTGTTAGCAAGATATCAAGAGGACAAATCTACATGGCATAATTTATTTTGTGTATAGAAAAATACCCTTTTAGTTTATAGCACACTTTCATCACTGGTTAATCTATTTCTGTGAAATTTTTATAAAAGTATATTTTGTGCAAGACATTGTCGAATCCTCTTAATTTAGTAATATTTTCAATGTCAGTCAATTTTTTTTTTATTTAAGTAAATTGTACTTTGTTATATTGAAATTTGTCGACATGACAGTAAATCTCAAAGTTGACCAAGAATTACATTTTTTTTTCATAAATGACTGATTATGAACTTTTACTCAACTAAGTATTTTTAAAATAAAAAAATCACTTATCATCAATTCTTGAGTACTTCTACATATATTATGATAATAAATTTAAAAGAATATAAATATTGTGATTTTTTTACAAAATTAAAATAGTTTTTTTAAAAAATTGAAAAGGTATAACTTCAAAAATATTACGAGGAAGATATAATTCATACATGTATTTATTTTGCTCTTATAAATGGGATATATTAATTATTAAAAATATTATACTTTTCTTTTTTGGTTTTATTTATTAAGGCTTTTATTTTAACAACTTAAATATTGTATTAGGATAATTCTTGTAGACTAGGGCAATTTTATAAAAAATACATTTTCTCTCAAATTCTCAAAATCATAATTCGCTTTCCTTTTAAAAATAGCAAAACCAAAATAGAGAACTATCCTAACTTAAGATGAATTTTAAGCTTAACTTATGTACCCCACAAAAAAAGTTTTAACTATTGGATTTCCTCATGATAATATAACAGACTTGTACAACTCTTCCTTTTTTTTTTTATTTCTTTAAAAAACAAGTTCAAGTTGTTGTTGATTTGTCTATGGCAATTTTATTATATGCGGCTAAAACTCACTCACTCATTACTTGTCATTAGTGGTGACTGCTTCTGCCACTACTTGTTTTGTATTATAGTGTTTCCGAGTTTGTATATTTGTTTTTGCTTAGATAGATAGATAGATAGAGAAAAAACAGGCAGAAAAACCAGTGGTACATATTGTCTCAAGCACCATGTGGATCAGAGGGTTCTTTCATTTTGTTCATGCTTCTGATTTAAACCATCAACAAACCAGTGACAGAAAAAAAAAATGGTTGGCGATTAAATACAAAAGAAACAAAAAGAAAAGAAACATAGAAGAAGCATTAGGAGAGGAAGAATGCAAATGGCAATTTTGTTAAGAGGAGGAGCACTTGGAGATTCTAGCTTTCGTTTGTATTCATTAACTTCAACTTCTTCTTCTTCTTTGCATGTCTCCCAGAATGTTGTCTTACCCACCTCATCATCATCACCAATACAACCTTTGGTATGCTTCCCTTGATTATGCAGCTCCATCTCAGATTATAATTTATGAATATTAATTAATCAAGGGGAAATGATTTGTAACTTATATCCTTTTAGCAATTTATAACTATGTACCAAGAGTAATACATAGTTATAATATTAAAGTTGTACTTTTTTTTCTCTCTTCAGATATTGTTTGCTGACGTGGAAAGTGGAAAAAGTATAATTTTAATATTATAACTATGTACTACCATTAATATATAGTTATAAATTGCTAAAACGACATAAGTTACGTCCTCACAAACTTTTAACCCATTAATCTATTAAGAAAAAGTGATGTCTTTTAGGAATGAGTTTTTGAATTTATTTTGTGTGTGTATGTATATATTTATTTTTTCCTGTAGTTTTAGCTTAGAGGGTCCTTGTGTAATCCAATTTTGTGTGAAGTTCCACTTTCAAAGTTCACTTGCATCTGTATTGTTTTTGATGAGATTCATCTAATGTAATGTTCAATTTACACAATTGAAATATTAGGATATTTATTGTAGTAATAATTTTTGTTTTCATGATAAGTTTCTTTTCAATATCTGTTTTTCTTGTGTTGCAGATTGCAAGTAAATTAAAATCAACTAACAGAAACAAGATAACCTGTTCTGCTGTTCAAGAATCATCTACTAGTACATCAGGTATCTTTCTGCATTAACATAATAAAAAACTTTGCTTTGATTTTCTTTTATTTCTCAATAATTTTGCACTCAAGCTGAAAATGCTTAGTCTAATTGAAACTGTAATTTCTGCTCTTAGCTACCTCTGAAACAAAGGAGGAAGTAAATGCATCTCCAAAAGCTGAACCAGAAAAGAAGCCTCCTGCTAAAGCTCCAGCTAAGCCTCTACCTCAGATGATGGAGGAGGATGTGATCCCTTCATTGAAAGCAATATTTGAAGCCCAAGAAGATCTCTCTAATATTGAGCTAGTCTTTCAGGACAATAAGGTTAGTGATGCAGCTATGCTACCAATGCCACTCTTCAGATTACTGTCTTTGTAATGATTGCAATTTAAGCTATATAATGAGGTAGAATATTGAAGAGGGCGAGTCTCGAGCAATTGTAAAACGGCTCCTTTGTGATTGAAAGGTCACAGATTAGAACCCGGGAAATAGCCTCTTTGCAATTGTGCAACGATAAGGCTGCGTACAAGGATTGCCCTCACTCTATCCTTGCTAGTCTGGGTTTAATAGGGAATGATGTGGTTCAATGAGGTAGCATATTCTCCTTCCATTACTTCTAATTTCAGCCAGTTTTGAGCATCAAAACCACTCAGTGAAGTTCATGAAGCTTTACATTATTGAATGAGTTAATTCATGATATTTGATTGGTTATGATTGACAGTTGGAAGGTTCTTTTTTGAAAAAAGGCAATCCCTATTCATTTTGGGCCTTCTTTCCCACAGGATTAACTGGTATGTATATTTTATGTTTGCTATTGAGAAAGTAGTACTACACTAACATTGAGTTAAATGCAAATGCAAACAAATATCAGCATCATTCTATGCTTGAACAGGTCCAAAGGGGTTTTCTCTGTCATCTTATAACTCAGAAGCAAGCACTGTTGAACCATTTCTTATTGATGAAAAGAAAATTACTGCAAGACACATTATCTTCTGGCTTGAAAAACGTTTGGCAGCACAAGGGATCATTCCTGTATGGAAAGATTAATATCTTATTAGTGAAATTTCATTTTGGTTGCAAATGTGTAGCATACAATTCAATATTCTCTTTTCCCTTGGCTTAATGACTATGATATATATAGTGTTGTGTTGATCAATGTGCAATTGTATATGCTTTTATATTGAGCATTTTGTTGATCAATGCACAGGTTTTTGAACATTTGGTATTAGGATATTTTTTTTCTAAACTTGTTTTAAGATTTCCCAAGGCCTAATGGATACGTGTAAGAGAACATATTCCCAAATTGAATATGTTTTCTTTATTCTAACTATAAAGAACATGCTGAAATAAAGAAATTTTCTGGAAATATTTCAAAATATAAAGGAGCTCAGGATTTTAAGCTCAGATGTTTAGACTTACAAAACGAGGTGTGAGGAAAAACAATACATAAAAACAGAATACCTCACCAGTTCGAAATTCTAATTATACTTCCAGTGCATTTTGTTCATCTCACTTCTACAATATTGAAATTGTTAAAACGAAATATAAGATGGTATCCGCAAAATAAAATGAGAAGATACTTTCATTTGTTTTTCCTTATTTGCACCACATGAAGCAGGTGGTGTGGTTACCTACTTCGAAAATATATAATAAAATTTGTATAACTGTGGTGTTGTATCTAGTGTACTTTTGCTCATTTAATTTATTTATTTTTTTAATTTACACATACCCATACAGAGATATAGGGCATGTGTTTGCGGGTCAAATTCCAATTTTGAGTTATTGATCAACTCAGCTATTCAGTGTGTTCAACCCTACTATTCCACTATCGTATTACTTCAGCTGATTATTCGCCAAATTTTTAGAGCAATGATATAAAAGCTAAAATTTACATCTTCAATGTTGGCAGATCAATCTTTCCTTCAAATTTGCATATAATAATAATGGGAAAGGATCCGTTTACAAACTTTTTTGATAAATTTTTACAAATTACACTATCTTCTTCCAAGAGAACATAGTGAAATTAGTGTTCTCCCAGGAGAAGATAGTGTAGTTTGTAAATAAAAAAATTTGTAAATATAACCTGGCCCAATAATAATAAAGAAAGGAAAAAGTTCAAGTTCACGTGTTGAAGCAAATATCCAATTGCTAGAGGGTAAAGCCACTATACGTGAGGCAACAGATGAAATTGTTAGTTCTTAATATCGCATATAATCAGTTGTAGAACTAAAAAGCATAATATTTAATAACATCGCATGGTAAACGTTGCTTCGTTTCTGTTCATTTTTTCCCTTACTATTAGCTAATCTCCCAGGGGAACAAAAAAATTTAAGGTTTGCCTCAGGAGTCTGATTTATTATGGTCAATTCTTCCACAAACATTTTGAAGCAAGCATCAAGACCTTAAAACCTTGCAGAAAGCATTTAACTAGAGCTGAAAAAGATATCTAGCCTTCAACCTGCCAAAGTGAATGAAAGCTTTATCAATACACTTTAATGCAAATCTGAACTATCAAGAACACAATAATAAGAATCAAAATAATTGCAACTGAAATCCCTCTTCCCAATTTCTCTCTCAATCTCTAATTACTAGCAGAAAATATTATTGCTTTGAGTCTAGATGGAAAGAACAAATATCGACTTGGTATGCAGTATGCACCTCCCTCTAGCGTAGAATCAGGTTTTGGCATCTTTCATGTGTTATATAACTAGATTCTAGATAAGCACAGACAGAAGTTCAAGTATTCACTGTACCATAGAAAAAGTAAAGGGTTAGTGGGATTGAAAAGAATGTAGCCAAAGCTCATGTACTAGACTACTAGATGCATTCTATGAAACAAATATTACACTACACTTTGGCCAGATGCATTTATCAACAAAATTCATAAGACTAGCTTAATACCAAGAACGAGGGAAGCAAATACCGAGAGAAATCTAACATATGAAATGAAACACCAATGAACAACTAGTCAGGGAAACAAAAAGTTATAAGAATAATCAAAATTCAAGGAGAAAATAAGAAGGCATTGCTAAACTAATAAGAAAGCATTCAGAACCACGGTGGTAAAGGGTCGACAATCATTGAGTCCAAAGGCAATGCAAACCCTTAACCAGTACATACCCAGTATAGTTAAAAACTATGGCGAGACCATAGATTTAAGAGTCACCTAGGGCATGTATCTGTCATTTCCCCCCACAATCAGCCTTTTCCATTGAGAAAAGGCTTCACTATTGGAACAACTCCCAAGCAATTGAAAAATAAAAAGACTGAATTTCATTGAGTAAATAAAAGTCCACACCTCAATGACAGATGTAACCAGTCTAGTTAAAAGTACATAGTTCAGAAGCCAACCCATGATGGTGCTACTTTGATCATAATTTATTGGATGAAAGTGATTTCTTTTATGGAAGTAGTCCAATAGTTACGTTTCAATTTGATTAACAACAAACAATCAAGGCTTATGCCCTTACCCCACTTGGTGGGTTCAGTTACATGGATTAATCGATGGCATTGAGCTCTATCAAAAAACTAAATTTTCAGCAAAACCATTTTGAGCAAGGCCTTTTTCAATACTTCTTAGGTCTTCCTCTACCCCTCTTGATCAGAGTATCAAACTATCTTCCAATTGATCCACTTTTCTCACCGGAGCCTTTATTAGTCTTCTTCCCACTTGACCAACCCAAAAGACAAGTTTCCATTATCTTCTCCTCTATTGATGTAAATCCAACTTTCTCCTGGATATGTCCATTCTCAATCTTCACAACTTATTTATAAAAAAAATAAGAGGGTAAGGTTGCATACAACTGATTTTATCCAAATCTTTTTTATCAACAAAAGATTTGCCCTTTATGTTCATTCCAAATCTTATTCATCTAATCAGTCAGCCATCTTATATTACTAATGAGTATTATATGATGCGACTAACAAAATTTTGCTGTAATTAAAGCACGATTCCCAGAGTCCTTTCCAAAAGACAGAGGATGTTTCCTTGGTCATTGATTCAAAATCTTAACACTTAACAAAAACAAGCTTCTAACATATACATAAGAAAGATAAAAACATCTAAATCAGAGTCAACATTCTGAATCTAAATAACACACTATTTTCCATTTGAGAAATCATGTTGTGAGAAAGAGAAATACCTGATCCGAAAGGGAAGTGTGATGATTTGGTGGAGTGGATTCAAGGTTGGAAATTCGAGCTTGGAGAGAATCAAACTTGTGGTTCATGTCAGAGACAAGAGCGTGACGATCAACCCACAGATCCTTCCAAACGAAATGGGAAACCGCAGCAGCTGAGGCCATGAACCCTACACTGAACCATAACAATCGAGTACGCATCATCGTTTCTTCTTCTTCTTCTTCTTCTTCTCAAATCACACGGTCACCACCGCACAGCCACAAGCCCACAACCGTCTGATGTAGATGGAACAAGACACAACCTAATGAACCTAGACAGCTAACAAAGTTGGGCACCACCCTTCAGAAACTATAAAATTGATATTGGTGTCAAAAAAAATTACCACTCTACTAACTGCTATGAAAATTTAGCGGATAATATAATTTTAGTTATTTTTTTTTTTACTTTATTATTTTATTTAGATAAAACACACTACATCATAAAAATGTGTGTCAACCCTTTTTTTTAAATAGATGGATCTCACATTTATTGTATCTATGACATGAAATTAAAATTATCATGTAACAAGATAATTCTTTTTTCGTAACTTTTATACATGTTTTTGTTTGTTCTAAAATGACATTTTCAACCCCAACCTCAGGGGTGGCACAGTTTCACAAGGACTGGTCTATTAAGGCTCGTTTGGTAGATAAGGTAGGATATGATATGAGGCTGATAATGGTAGGATATGATATAAGGCTGATAAGGGTAGAATATGATATGAGGCTGATAAACCTATATCATGTCCTGTGTTTGATGAACATCTGATTAGCAATCTGATAAGATTATGTAAAAAGAGAAAGGAGAAAGAAAAATAAAATATAATGCAATAAATACAAATATATTGGGTAGCGTGGGGATATATTGGGTATCCAAAATTGGTATCCTATTCTATTGAATCCTAACTAGCTCCCCTCGTAGGATAAGAAATCATGTATTGGATAGGATAAAATGAGACAATAGGATAATCTAATCATATCCTATTGACCCACCAAACAAGAGATAAAAGTAGGATATGATAAGTTATCATATCCTATCTTCTTTATCAGGTACTCCAAACAGCCCTTAGACTCAACTTATTTTAATATTATTTTTATGGTGGAAGCTACATGATTATTTAGAAATCATATATATATATATTATTTATTATTAATATATTTCTCGATTAGGGTCTAATTTGTTAGTCTTGTCAGATCAATAAGTTTAATCCCATGACATTTATTATAGTTCTTTAGTTTTTTCATGACTAAATTTTGTGTAGCCATGGTCTGATCTAGTCAAACCCAATGTTTTGATCCATCAAGTTATAAGAATGGAAACAAATGTTAATACTCATGGGAAATGTTCTGGACGAACATTAGTCTGGATTTTCTATTCTGGTTATCTGCCTTTGTTATCTCAATTCTTGGTGTATATATGGAGACAACTTCAGAACAGTTACTTTTATCATGGGAGTGGTGGATGCTATCATGGCATCGTGGTAGGCCCACTTATGACTTTATTACTGGCAATACTGACTGACTCAACTAACTGCTAATTCCACTAAGTGTAATACTCACTGACATGACTAACCGCCTATCCCGGTAAAATATATCTGGGTTCCGTATCCTTTACTCTTACGAGCAAGTACGGCTCGCTGTATTAACCCGGGAACAGGAAAGAATTATTTTCTTTTATCTCATGTCTAGTAACATTCAAGAAAAAGCTAAATTAAGCAAGCTTTGGGTTGTTCAATAAGTATTTCCTAATCATTAAAGGGAAAAAATTGTGCATTTTTTTTCAAAAAAGAAAATACTAGTGTTCTGGACCAATATTTTAAGCGCGGTATACAATAGATCAAACAAGCCCATTTACATATTCTTTGTAATGAAAAAAATATCTTCAAGATCTAGCTGGTTACTGGACCTAGTGAAGATAGATTTATCCAATGGGAGTTTCCTCTTAAAGGGTGGGTCAAAGTTAACGTGGATGGTTTTAGTAGTGGAAGGGGAACAAGATCTAGCTGTGGCTAGGGGTGCTAATGAGCTAGGGGTTTTACAGGGACCTTTGGTTCGGCTCGTGAAGACCTGAGTTTGTATGTCTAAAATTGATTTTTGGAACAAGGCTTGAACTTGTATAAAAGCTCGTTTAATAAATAGGCCTCAGGCTCCAATTCAAAAGCTCGGCCTTAGAGCCTCTCAGGCTGGCCTAATACATTAATTTTTATTTTATATTTTTTATACTACTTGGGATAGCTCTTTCTCCTCAATCCATTTCATCCCATTTTATTAATTAAACATACTTTTTGAATGATTTTATTTTATATTATGCTGTTTGGATATACATTAAATTTATGAATATTTATGAAATTACTAGTGCTGTTGATTGTATATTTTGTTTGGATAAATTTTTGTTGTCTTATTTGTTTTTAAGCAGACTAAATCAGGCTTTTATTTTTTGCAAATAGGACAGACCACATACTGAAATTATATTCATAACAGATAACATGCTTGGTCAGACTGACACATTTAAACACAGACTTAGTCTTTTAAGACCAAAGCTCGGCTCGGCTCGGCTCGGCCCGTTAACACCCCTAGCTGTGGAATAAATCTTTGGTACTACTGCTGTACCTAGATTCAGTGCATCTCATCAATGAGAGCATTACACATCAGAAGAGAGAAAAAAAATCTGACAGAAAAAACAGAATTTTAGGTAACATGTAATATTTTCATTGATGAGATTTACTGTCTTTGGTACAACATTAGTACCAAAGATTTATTCCTAGCTGTCATTCGGATGCCACTAGCAGATGGGTAATTGGTTTTCATAGGATTTAGATTGTGACTCAGCGCTGAGAGTGGAGGTTTGGGGGCTGCTAAATGGGATTCAAATTACATGGGATCTGAGGGTTCGAAAGGTGTGGATTGAAGGGGACTTTCAAGTGGCTATTAACCTTGTTAAAAGCCAATATGGGAAGGAACATCCCCTTACTCCATTAGTCCATTAAATTCAGAGTTGCTTCAAAGGCCATGGACGACCAAAATCATGCTTTCCGTGAAGGAAATATGGTGGCAGATGCTCTTGCTTCGATAGGGAGTGGGTTGGCATATTGGAATCTGCATGTTTGTAATACACCTCCAAATATGTGCAGGGACCTGTTAAAGAGGGACTTGATAGGCACCTCTAGCCCAAGACTTTGTATCCTGCGTTAGTTCTTTTTTCTTCCCTATTTTCTATATATATATATATATATATATATATATATATATAGGGAAATAATTTTCTTATGTTGTAGGAAAATGCTTATCTTATGTTGTAGAAACAAGATTGTAAGTGGGACCCATAAGTAAGAGGAGAGAGAAAAAAAAAGAAATGGGACCCACCTAGCTTGTGTGTGTAGGAAATGTAGTTATCTTATGTAAAAGTAGATAAATATAACCCATATATATATATATATATATATATATATATATATCTTCAAGAGAATTACACGGTTAACAAAATCTGTTCTTGTGAACTTTTGATACATTGTCATCTCAAATCATCTCACTCTATAATCAATAAAACGACTTTGCCTTTATACCCACTTGATTAGAACAATTATAAGAATTCCTCTAAGCGGGTCATCCCCCTATTATAAATAAGGGCATTTAAGGCCCAAGGTAAATGATATTTTCTATCTTTCTTAAATTTATTTATATAATTTTGACTTGAGCGTCAAAATATGTTACAAGTATATCCCCACCTAATTTCACTGGAGATCTATGGAAGAGTTGCATAAAATCATCCTCAAAAAAGCTTCTTTAACAAAATCATGATCTAACCCAAAAATATTCAAGTTTGATCAAATAGCATGAGTAAATGGGCATGAGCTTACAAAACTCTTCTCATCTCCTAGTTTGTAAATTTCACTCAAACTTAAAGTACTAATTTGTTTTACCTTGCAAGAGTTTTGTTTTATGTGAATATCTGGCGAGTTGAGTATACTCCGCAGAATCTTCTCATATAATAATTGATGGTGGTGCTTCATTGACATAATAGATAAGTGTAGTTGTAGAGACATTATATATGAAACTAAGGTGAAGAATAATGCATTGATGCAATCGTGGGAATGATAGAGTTTAGAATTTTTTTAAGGAAATGAAATCATAACTAAGAGTGTAAATGGGCCAGACTAGGGGTGTAAATGGGCCAGGCTGGCCCAGCCCAGTCTACGGCCCGGCCTACATTGAGCCCAGCCCAGGTCCGACCTTTCAGAAAAGTAGAGTAGGCTTAGGCTTATAAAAAAGTTTTTTTAATAAATAGGCCATAAGCCAATTTTGTCAAGCCCGGCCTACAGCCTTGTAGGCTGGCCTATTTAATTTATTAAAATAAAATAATATTTATTTTATGTGGCAAAGACACAAAGTACCAAATATCAATATCTCTTACTTTTTGTGCTATTTTATTTTATGAAAGGAAAACTTGTCTAATGTCTCCAAATTTTACATGTTGTTGCAGCTTAATACCATGGAGCAATGGGTACCTTGCTGGATTATGATGTTACCGATGAAGATCTTTCAATAATACTCTTTTTTCCCTTGTCTTGATGGTGGTTTAAAGATTTTTAGATGAATGATATTCTCTTGTAGACTTTATTTCAGCATCCAGTAATTGTATTTTTCTTATTTTTTCCATTTCTTTGACTCTATTCCTCTATGATATACATTCTAGAGCTGAGGTATTATGTTTACTCTTTCTTGTTTGTCATTTTTTTCTTATAAGAAGTACTAGTGCATGCATGAATGGAACTTTCTTTGCTCTATACAATTATTTTTTTTGCTTAGTATATATAGTGGGAGGCCTACAAGGCCTGTAGGCCATGTCAAGCTTTCTTATTTTTGAAAATGGGCCGGACTTGGCCTACAAATAAAGCCTTTAATAGGCCAGTAGGTCAGATAGGCTGAATTTTTTTTTACGTAGGCTTGAGCCAGGATGGCCAAAGCCCAGCCTAGCCCAGCTCATTTACACCCCTAGGCCGGACGGTTTCTCAGGAGCCTACAGATTAGCTTGCCTTTGACCTGACTTAACTTGTCTGTTTTAAAAATAGAATAGACTTGAATTCATCAAAATACTTATTTAGAAATCAGGTCATAAATCGATTTTAGCAAGCTTGGTTTTTAAGCCTTTAGACCTGACTCATATTTTTTAATAAATAATATTTTTTAAATATAATAATATCTTATTATTTTTTAATAAATTAATATATTATTATTTTTCAATAAAACAATATCTCGTTATTTTTTAATAAAATAGTATCTTATGATTTTTTAATTTTTTTAATTTTCGCAATCTTCTCACTTCTCACTTCGCAAACACGTATTTTTTTAATCCTAAATTCCTTCGCCGTCACCAATTTTCCCCTTCCCTCGTTCGCCAAATTTTGTTACTCTTCTATCATTTTCTCAACTCCTCATCTCTTCTAACTCATCTATAGCTTACCATCGACTCTCAAGACTTTTTTATGCAGGACGAGTCAACACCACATGCTATCAATTTGCTCATACGAAGGTGCTTTAATCAATCATGACATGCGAGTTGTAATTATATTCCTTTTGGTGGTATGGATGAAGCAAAAAAGTCAACAAAAACCTAAATCTTTTAATAAAGTTTGATGATGTTGTTGAACAATTTATTGTATTTAACTTTTTGATTTTTGTCATCATCACGATTATTATTTCTGGTGGAATTTCTTAATTCATGAGTGAGTGAATACCCTCATGAATTACAGCAATGGATTCTAAATAAACATATATTAACATATACATTGAATATTATATGATATTTTTTTTTATTAAGTGTAAAAAAATGAATTCATAATAAAGTACAACCTGCGATTCATGGCAAGGATAAAGCATAATAAACAAACGAATTCATAATACCCTCCCACCAGTAACCGAACATGTGGTTCGCGTGTGTGCAAGATGATCAGAATACATGAAACATCTGAACAACACTGTTTGTAGTAGCTTCTATAGCAGGTGTAGAGTGTGGACTCGATCATTTTAATTCAAAACAAATAATGCAAAGACAAAGAGGAGTGCTTTTGCAAAAAAATGAATTAGTTTGAATGTTTCATTAATCATTAACATCATCCTAATGAATCAATCAGATAAGGTCACATTTGTTTGGTGATGGCATTTTGAAGATAACTAAACCTAAATATGAGAATATCTATTTTTAAAAACAGAAAATCACAATTCACAAGAACGCTCTCCTCAACAATTTGTTATAACATTATAATTACAATTTCATTTTATCATTGGAATCGATTAAATAATTAATTATTTAATTAACTTATTATGAGCTGCTATATGTATTAATTTACATTTAATACATATAGCAACTTATAATAAGTTATATAACTAATTAAATATTTAAATTTTATAATATAAATATAAAACAAAAATAAATTTTCATACCTTGTTAATTTTTTAGATCAAATTTCATAACAGAAAATATTTTATTTATAAATTAATTTTTCATATTTTATTAAAAAAATAATGTAAAATAAAATTTGCATCTAAAAAAAATATCAAAGCATTGACCGAGTTGGACGCATGTCGAAAAATATTGATTGAATGCATATTAGAACATGTCAGTCTGATGCAGATTTTTTCTAAAATATATATATATTCCCCCTCTCTTATTATGAGATAGAGCTCTCCTAAAGCTTTGGTAATTGGTAATAAGATACTTCCCCGTGAAAGATACATGGCTAAGGCTTGTTTGGTTGATGAGAAATTTTATAAATGATAGAAAAATAGTTAGAAAGTGAGATAGGTAGAAAAATGTAAAAAAAAATTGTTTGGTTAGAAAAAATTTTACCGGAGAAATTAGGTAACTTGTATGAAATCTATGTTTGGTTGTAAGTAAAATATAGATGGAAAAATAAATTCATATTACGAAAATAACCTTGTTTGTAAAAATTTTTGACGGTGGGAAATCTAACTTGTCTCGAACGCAACTTGCTTATAGAACCTTTAGGTCGGGAAGAATAATGCCAGACCAAACAAAAATGCAAGAAAAGCCACACCTGCTAGGATCAGAAACGATGACATGAAACAGTGGACACCAATGCATGAGTTATCTTCTTCAGTAGCTTCCTTGTCATAAATATATCCAACAACTCTCACAGAAAGTATATAAGATCCAAGTGGACTCGATGCAGCAATAGTGTTGAAAATGGTACCCATATGCTTTACACCAAATATCTCAGAAGTGATCGTAGAGGGTACCATGGTCATCAATGGCTTGTCAAATTTTTACAGATAGCTAGATAATTTCTAATACCACGCTAGAAGTGAGTAAATTTGGCCTGCTTTTTTGGCTCAGATAGCCTTGCAAATGGCTTAACTAGGAAAGTGAGATAGATAGCAATGTAAGAAACTAGTTGAATCAAACACGGTGAACCAACAAATCCACTTTCAATTTACCCATCTTTCTCCACAAAATACAGGAACCAAACACCCCACTCCAGGACACTTCACTAGTATTTTGTTGTATCATTATTAGAAAAAATGTCAATCATTTGAAAGGAGGGCCCTTTTAAACGAGCGTAATGTATTTTTTTAAATTTTAAATTATAAATTTTTTCTTTCATTCTTTTTTTTTCATAATTTATTTCTTTATCTCTTTTAAAAGGATATAAATATATCTTTTAAAAAAACACATACTTTTTCCATTATTATCAAGAGAAAAATTACTCTTATGCAATATAAAAATAATTTTATCTCTTATAGATTCGTCAAAAAATTGTGACATCCTTTTTTTTCTTATAAATGGTGAATCACACCATAAATATATCTATAACATAAGAAATTTTCTTTCATACAACATAAAATTAGATGAAATCTGCCTTAATCTATCGATGCACTTTTCTACTCTTAGCCAAACATTTTAGTTTAGTTGTACTGGTACGACAGATCCGAAATGCAAAAAGAGAATATCCGAATATAACAATGAGAAATGCCAGAACATATATTTTTTTCTTTGATATTTTTTTTTATTATTAAATAAAAATTAAATAAAAATCCTAATAATTACTGGACCTAACATGGTGTGTGGGAACTCGAGATTGGTGCAATTAATTAAAAAAAATGAAAATGAAAATGAAAATGAAAATGTGTAACTACCCAATCTAATATTGTCATTGTCCTTCCCTTCCATCCTGTTTCATTTAAAAGCAAAGCATTCTTCCATTTGCAGGGACAAAATCGTGAACAATGATGCCTCCTCAAACGCTTGTTCCGTGGCTATGGCTATTGCTTCTGGGTATGGTTGTGTTTGCGTGCACAACAACTCCAGCACGCGCCATGGTGGAGTCGGAGCGTGAAGGAGGAAGCCGTCACAGAGATTTTGATTATTTTGCTTTGTCGTTGCAATGGCCTGGCACTTACTGTCAACGCTCCCGCCATTGCTGTCCCTCTAATGCTTGCTGCAGAGGGTATCATTCATAACTATCACTTTCCCCCCTTTCTTTTTTTCAATTTTAATTTTAATATTGATTGTTCAACTTTACCAATTATCCTATTTTTTTTTAATCAAAATTGGAGTCTGATTTTGTTGTTGATAAATTATATTAAATGTATCACAGAATAAGTCAGATTCTGTTTCGTAACCAACCAGGCCCTCTCTTATCATTAGAGAAATATAAAACCATTAATATATGTTCTTTTTTACATGATTCAAGAGCTCGTGATCAAATGGTTATGATTCTGTTACCATGTTACCATTCTGTTTTTCTGTTATGATTACAGTTTCTGTTACCATTCTACACTTTCTGTTATGATTCTGTTTCTCTGTTACCATTCTGTTTTTCTGTTATGACTACTGTTGTCTGCGGTTAGCCTTTTCTTACCATCTATGTATCAGTGTACTCATACTTTGTATGTTATGGTATTACGAGAGTTCATAAATCTAGAACCTTTACCAAAGTGGAGATTATTTCATCAAAATTGGAGACAGATTTTTGTTGTTGATAATTATATTATATGACGAAGGATTGAAACTTGGAAGAAAGATAATAAACATGTTTCAATTTTGACTATATTCTAATCTTTACCATTATGGCATCTTATATAAAGCATCTGTTAAAGAGACTAACTGACATGTTTGCATTTTAATTTTTTTTTTCTTCTTCTCCTTTTCAGCTCCAACTCTCCAACAATATTCACCATACGTGAGTATGAGGTTTCAAATTACTGTTGGAAATTTAGACCGCGGTGGAATAGTTCTTTCATGTTTGTCTTGAGTTTCAGAAGTTGCAATGGCTTTGTTTCTGAGCCAATTTCTTCTTCTTCTGGGTTGTTGATCATCTAGCTGGATGTTGAAAACTGTAAAAAGGGCTGCCAAGTGCACCAGGCTTGCACTTTTTGTTTTTAGATTGCATTATTTGTAAAAAATAAAAATTTGTTTTGTGAGTTGAATAGTTTATTGACCTTTTTGTATATATCCCTTCTGAGTATGGAGATTCCTGCAACAAATATCTTAACAGATTGTATCTACTTGTATGATAGATGGGCTCTGGCCTGACTATAATGATGGAACCTGGCCAGCCTGTTGCTCTAAATCTAGATTCGATCCAAAAGAGGTAGAATTACAAAACCTTAATTTGAAAAACATTTGATCACATATATTGGTTTCCATGCTTTGACTGATTGAAATTTTGAATAGAATGAAATCAATTTACCTTTCGGAGTTATACCAGAAAGTTCTAGTAATTCCTTTTAGTTTTACTGGATAATTAATATTAAAATATTAACTATTGATTGAAGACAGCCTAGAAACTTTTTTCGCTGTTGAAACTGCAATATTTTAAACTTTTTCACTGGTGGAATGTTTGTGTTAGTATTACTTTTATATACCATTAGAACTTGTTGGAGTCTTCTATTAACTAGTTGCATTAGCACTCCATTTCCACTTTTCTAAGTTTTGTTGTTCCATCTTCTGCGTAGATATCGACTTTGACTGATGCTTTAGAGCAATATTGGCCATCATTGAGCTGTAGCTCACCATCAACATGCAGCGGTGGAAAAGGTTCATTTTGGGGTCATGAGGTGCTCATTGAAAATTCTGGACTTTCTCATTTAGCCTTAAATTGTTATGGAATCTAATTTTTTTTTTTAATCTGTTTTCCTGGGGCTTCCTCGATGGTACACATTGGCAGTGGGGTAATAATCTCTTATAACTTTTGCTTGCTTACATTATATAACAAGTTTGTTCCATGTTTTGCTTGAGAGTAATAGTTGAGCTGTTTTCCTAAAATCTGGTATATTTGCATAGAGTTGGTTATATTCAATTGATGCAAAACAATGTGTTCAAAGTTTCAAATATATTATTGTTGGTCACTTAATTTTCTTTTCAATCACATTGTTTATTTTTTTTCCTGCTATTTTGTTTGAAGCAAAATCATATGGTTTTCTTGTACTAGTATTCTAATTTTCTAATATTTCAATTTCACTTGCAGAGAAGCATGGAACATGCTCATATCCTGTGATTAAAAATGAATATGATTATTTCCTGACAACGCTGAATGTCTATTTCAAATACAATGTTACAGTAAGTTCGTAAAGCATAAATTTTTTTGTATCTAGAAATTTCTTTATTTTTTTTGTAGGCAACGAGCTCATGCGAAATAATAAGTTAATAACTGATTGTATTTCTACTTTTTTGGTCCTTAGCGTATTCTCATTTTTCCTTAAAATATCAAACTTGCTTTACTGAATACAAGTACTTAGAAAATTAAAGGTTATTTCTATGCAGCTGTTATTTTAAAATGTTATCTTGCCCCCTCCAACCACTCTAAAAAACTAATAAAATTTGTCTACTGATTATTGAGTTAGTCAACCAGTGACTCCCTCTCCAATTGATAAGATTTGTTTGTTGATTACTGAATCAGTTAATCAGTATCCTCCCTCCAGTTGATAAAATTTGTCAGTTGATTAATGAATTAGTCAATCAGTGGTCCCTTTAGCCTTGATGTATATGTGAATATGCTTGATAGTGGAATTTTATAAGTATTCAGGGTTGGCCGGATGCTATAGTATGGTCCAAATATATGCATGAAGGTTTGAATTAATAACAAAATTTGCTGGCTACTTGGCACACCATCTTATCTATTGAGGACTTAAAAATCTCAGTGTTATGTGGATTCCTTGCTGCCCTGTTGTAGATCATTAAAAAATGCTGAACTGGTTTGGATCTTATTCTGTCTTTGGAATGGCAACCAATTGTGTTTGCAAAACATTTGATTGCAAAGACCAAATGCCTACTTGCATATACATTGGAGCATGCTCTGACTATTTTGCTTTTTAACATTTCTCCAGAGAGTTCTAAATGATGCTGGATATGTTCCGTCTAATACAGAAAAGTATCCCCTTGGAGGCATTATTTCTGCCATTGAGAATGCTTTCCATACATCTCCTTTAATAGTTTGCTCCAAAGGTTCTATAGAGGAACTTCGCCTATGCTTCTATAAGGACTTCAAGGTTGGAAATCAGCTCTACTCTGCAATATATTTGACATAATAAACTAAAAGATGTCTAAATATTTGTCTTTATTCACTATTAAGAAATTAAGAGTATTTAGATACCATTTGACATGATAAGAGCTAACTAGTTCAGTCTGCACTAGCTGGTATTTTCAAATATTGATATCACTACTGAACTTCCTGATCAGATTTAAAGTAATATTGCATAAGAACTGTAAAGAATCTTGCGATACACCATCCCAAAAGCTAGCTCAAAGGGTGGGAGTGCCCAAGACCTTATAAACTTCACATTAGTTGCACATACAACCAATGTGGGACTATATATCTCAACACGCCCCCTCACACAAGAGCCCATTGGGCTTGAAGAGTGGAAGATGCAACAGGCCCAGCCTACCGTGCTAAGAAAGTCCACAAGAGAAAGTGGGGGGCGGCGAGGCTCTGATACCATGTAAAGAACCTTGCGATACACCACCCCAAAAGCTAGCTCAAAGGGTGGGAGTGCCTAAGACCTTATAAACTTCACATTAGTTGCACATACAACCAATGTGAGACTATATATCTCAACAAGAACTATATGTAATAGTTCTAGACCCAGTGCCATTTGACTTGAATTTTGTAAATTTGGTGGCAATTTGGTTTATTTTTAGAAAATGAAGGAAAACCCTGACTGGTTAAACAAACTTTCATGGGCATCATGAGAGTTCCCATTACCTTGTTTATTAATTCTGTGATTGTAAGGTGTCCTATTCAAACATAATAATTTGGACAGCATAATTATTTAACAATATTTTTTTTTGTGTGCAGCCACGAGATTGTGCTGTTGGATCCAACATTGAAATTGACATGGTTACTTCAAAAGGATCATGTCCCAAATATGTTAGCTTGCCAGAAACTGTATCCTTAGGTAAGTTCATTACTGTTTCATCTTTATATTAGTATAACTATATTGCTTTGCTCAACTTAACTATGAAAATAGTTTGCTAAAATTGACATATAAGTCGACTGATGGATTAAGGATGAAGGAAGGAACTGGCCTATAATCCATTCCAGTTAACATGTACTGAAGGATATGTTTGGAAACTGGTCAAAATTCTCTTGAACTTTGAATAATTCTGAAACTGGTTGACCTGAGGCCACTTAGAGGCATGGGGCTGATCAGGTTATTTCAATACTGATTGAATTATTGAGACTTGGTCAATACCAGGTGTGCGTAGATTGATTTATTTATATGACTGTTTTGCAGTTTGGTTTATTTATATGACTGTTTTGCAGTTTGATTTATTTAATTACAAGATACTTCAACATGCTGATTGTGACTTGATTAATTTATACATATGGCTCCTTTGTCATTTTGGAATATCCGAAGAAACTTGATATCACTTTCTCACAAGCATTCTAGATATCTGTATTACTGAGAAAGAATACGGTTTTATTTTTTATTTTTTTCTGAGAAAAGATGAAATTTCATTAAAGAAAAAAAAGAAGTACAACTAGGGATATGATAAGAAATCCTTCCTAATAAGATTCGAGACCTGGGCATAAGTATGAACCAAGGTTTCCCAATCTTTGCAAATCCAAGATAGCATCACTCTTGAAGCAGTCCTGGGCATAAAACCACAGAGAAGCCAAAAACTGTCTTGGGGGCCAAGAAATTCTGTGTTCTTCTCCAACCACAGAAGGATCCTTACACTCTCACCCTGGCCACCTTGCTGAAAATAACCAAATAGAATGGGATTTTTTTGGGTACAATGGCATTACAGAGTTTTGAGGCTATGACCTTAGCAAACTATCCAAATACCTCACCACTAGACCACTCTTATTGAGTGGGAATCTTGGCTACTGTACCGAGGAAGCAGTCTTGAGGTTGTTTGTATGGACTTTTGAAAAAAGTCCTTTTTATCACTTCCTTATTTTAAAAGTACTTTTTATAAAAGTTACAGCTATTTAGATTTTTAAAAAAATATTTGTTTTTTGAAAAAAATATTTGACTTTTGACTTCTGCTTTTCTTAAAAGTTAAAATCTTTAGCTTCTGAAAAAAGTAGGTTTTTGGCTTTTTTTATGACTTCTGTTTTTTTTAAAAGCAGACATCCAAACAGACTTTTTTCGAGAAGTGCTTTTTTTTCTTAAAAAAAGCAGCTTTTAAAGAAAAAAAAGCCCATCCAAACGGGCTCTATGTTTGATACATGGGTATGAGATAACCACAGGCATCACATACTCCTCATTGTGTCTTAAACGCATTATGTTTGTTGGCATGTGATACCCCTCATAACATGTGGAAGGGTATATCTAGAAATTCTAAGTTGGATATTTTAAATATGCTAAGTGCACCTAAACAGGGGCATAATACATTCCCAGAAGCGTAAGGGGACTAGTAATTAATTGTCAAACAGGAGATTCCTAAATATCAATGCATCCATGCATCTTGTAGATGCCTGGGATTCTAAGATGGTGTTTAACTTAGTTGCGGCATGAATTCACCTTAAATTCAGATTCTGGAAATAGATCAAATTTATAGCATGGGGGATCAGAAAAGGGCTCTAAAAGTAGGATGTGCTTTTGACTCGGCTTCTCTCCAAGTAGTCCATAATCAGTAATCTGCTGCTATTCTATGGCTGTCTACTTTATCACTACCTGTTTCTAAATTTTTACTTAGTGGATGAAATTTCTCTTTGCTTTGGACATAGTTTTTAGTGTGATAATTTTTTTTTTTTATCTGGTGAATTTAGTCCAACATACAAAACAATAATAATTACATTGGATTAGAATAATCCATTGCATTTTATCAATTTTATAATCATCTTTTCACCTGTAGGGAATGATGAGCTTCAGAGTTGGGTGTCCGATGAAGATGATGCAGCTCTTTAAGGTTAAGGTTACGCTAGAGTGCTTCTATATGTAAATTTCTGTACCTTGCGAAGGAACAAAGCCACATGCATAAATTTGTTCTGATGTTGTACCATTTACCAATTTAGAGACAATAGAATAAAGTGAAGAGCTGGACATTTGGGTTGAGATCTAGCACAGCTAAACTTAGCCGGAAAAATGAAGAGATGGCTGAATGTATTATTTAGGATCATAGGATCTATCTCCAGCCTGCTGCCATGTATTTGGAGGCCGGGTTTTATCCGTTTCTTTATTATTGTAAGAATGTACAATTATAACTGTACAATTAAATATGTTGTTGTATAATAAGGAGTTGCAATTATATATATATATATATATATATATATATATATATATATATATATATATATTTTCTGGAAAGGTCATATTTACTACTATTTTAATTGTACTACTCTTCCTATTTATTTGGTTACTGTTGGATCATTTTAAAATTTATGGTAGTTAATTTTTTTTTTCCTTTTCAACCATTGATTTCAAGTTAATCCAACAATAACTAAACAAGTAATAAGAATAATAATATTAAAATGATAGTAAATATAACCACCATTTTCTTTAATATCATCATGTAAGTTCGAGCACAATGAAGTTCGTTTTCTCTTTAATTAGGTAGATGCCCTGCGAGAACAACATTAAATCATTTGCAAAAATATGGCATTTAAATGTCATTCAATTTACCCATTTTTTTTTACCGTTATGTACTTCAATCTTTGTGTTAATATATATGGTCATAATTAAGAATTCCCCCGCACCATGTTGGTTACAATATGACGACAATCATTACATCATTTGTTTTTCTTTTTCCTTTCTTCAGCTTCAATAAGAATAGTAAGACTTCTAAATATCTCGAAATAAATCTAACTCGTGCTTATGGTATTTTCAAACAGACACACACACACACCAATAATCATAGAGACAGATGAAGGCATCTCTAGAATTCCTCTTAGTTACTTTTCTTGGTTCATTCTTCCTTGCAAGGCCACGAGCTGACTCGTGCACCAGCAATCTGAACATCAAAGATCCTATCCCTTTTGATACAACCAACCTTCACTGCCTTTCTGTATGGGATGCTCAAGGTTTCATCCTCAGAGTAGGTGCAACATTTTTTTAAATAACTTCATCACAAATATATCCTTCTTATTCCAATATCACCATATATACTAATTGTTACTGTGTGCATAAATTTTGCAGTATGTTCATACATCTGCAAACATTTGGAGCTTCATTCTCTCAACCCCAGACACAAATTCTTACATAGCTATGGGGTTCTCAGCCAATGGTAGCATGGTGGGTTCAAGTGCCATAGTGGGGTGGGTGGCATCCAGAGGAATCAGTGGAGGGATAAAGCAGTATTATCTAGGTGGGAATACACAAAATCAGGTGGTGCCTGATAAAGGCAACCTACAGGTTATAGCCAATTCAACCTTCATAACTTTAGAATCCTCTCGTCTGTACATGGTGTTTCAGTTAGAAGCTACTGAACCTTTGTCCTGGTTGATATTTGCCACTGGTTCCACTGGATTATTCCCTGCAGCACCAAGTTACACACTAACAAAACACCTAGACAAGGTTTCCACAAGAATAGACTATTCAAAAGGTTAGTATAAATTTAGTATTTAAGTTGTGGCTTCATGAATTCAACTCCTAGTCATGTGAATGATCTCAATCATTCATTTTTTAAATCAATGGTCCGTAATTAAAGTGACAACTTTTACTTTCTCATTAGAAGTGCGATTTCTATCTACGATCTTGAACACGAGAGAATTCACTCTCATTTATATTTTTTAAAGGATAATCAATTGAATAATTAATTGTCCATTAAGCTAAAAAAATCAATTATTTTCATTACAATTACAACTATGTAAATTATAACTAAGCTGTGGTTTTGTGTTTTGTAAACCAAAAATCAGAAAGAGTATAGTTGAGCAGCGAAGTTGACTAGTAGATATATAATCAATGTGTGTTTTTCTTTGTGCTACTTTCCTTTTTCTTTGATGCAATGTAAACATCAGTAAGATTAGTGGCTAATGGTCAAGTACACATCATTATAAGTCATTATGTCTGTGGTTGAATGTTGATGGCTTACTATTCAGAATTCATTCACCTAGACAAATTTTAGGTTAGGCATGTATAGAGTGGGTGAAGTGTTTTATCAAAAAACAACAACGAAGCAGAGAAGAATAAAAAGTGGAAGAACCTAATGTTCACAAAGGATCCTTGTAGATTTTGCATTCAAAAACACACAGACATAACTTGGACTGCACTTACTTAACGGTTAATATACACTTATACAGAACAAGATAAAACTGAACAGACACTGAGAGAGAGAAAATAACAGTCAACAACCGTAACAATACTCGTTAGTCTTGTCTTTACTTAAATAGATTCCTCGCATACTTTTTTGTAATATTCTCTGACTTAAAAAGTTATTGGACAACAACCGGATCGAGTTCATTTGAAGCAATATGATTCTGGAATCAAATTTTAGTGAGATCTATTATTCCTTTTTTCCTCCTCAGACCAAGTTATAAATCTTCTTTATTACACAAAGAAAAGAAAATAAAATAAAAATGCTTATATATGATACTTTGTATTAATTTAGCTACACTAAGAAGTTTTAGGTGATGGTAATGATAAAATCCTTTCATGTGGTTTAATTAAAAAAGTTGTATCATTGTTCTATTTTGCCTATCAGAAAATCATGCTAGTTATTGCTAGCACCTTTGGCTGCTTTTAATGCAGGGTGAAAGAAATAATATTTATTTATTGGGATTTATAACTATAATGTTACAGGAAAGTGGATACATCATAGAAATATTAAGTATGGGGCCAATAGTTTTTTTTTTTTTAAGAAAAAAACATCACAAAGTTCGATGAATCCGCTATTCATTCTTGCAATATGATAGTTCTAAATCCCTTATTTATTTCTGTTTATCTTTGTTAAGAGCATGATACATATACATAGTATGTATACAAATTTAATTAAGATCGTTTTCGAACTAAAACACTTAAATAAAGAAACTTTAAACTTTTGGGTACACTGAAGGCATACTGACCCAAGAGAAAGAAATAATAATAAAAAGAAGTTGAACAATTAGTGATTAAGAGTTCAAGACTTTGACTACTTTTGCGGAGGATCTAATTACCATGTCATCATTGTATCAGAATAATAGAATTTTATTTCTTAATAATATTGAAGTTCCCAATTTAAACTTTCAATGGGAGAATGTACTCTGCACTGATTTTGTTTTTTAAATCGTCCATGGACGAAACTCGAAAGTAAAGCATAATTAACAAAGGATATCCCATATTTTAGGCATGATAAAGTTTGATCAATCATATTTATATCATGAATAATATGTTGACTAATGGTTTAAGTTAGCATTATACCTAATCTACTTAGTCAAATATGGTCATAATTATTGATACGCTGCCAACAATACCATTGTGTGTTACAATCATTCCCTCTTTCTTTTAATATTCAAATAGCTATACGTTTCCTAATTTAACAAACCTCACGACTACGTTTACAAACACATTGAGCATAAGCAAGAGTGAGAGAAATGAAGACATATGTAGCATTCCTCATCTTCACAATTTGTTTCCATGCTTCTTCAGCCCAACTTGGAAGTTCACAAGTGGATGGAGGAAATTCTTCACAAGGAGATGGAAATAGTTCACAACTAGACACCTGTGACTCCAAGCTAAACCTCAGTGTTCCTCTTTTCTTCGACACAACCAAGCTCAATTGTCTTCCTGTTTGGAATTCTCAAGGATACATCCTTAGAGTAAGTGCATTACTCTTGAACTTAATCATTTTATTGTTTTATTAAAAAAATTGAATACCAATCCTTGCAATATCAATCATATCATAATGATTGTGACAAAAATATCTGCGAGAGAAATATAATATAAAAATTATTGACGGATCTTTACTTGTCAACTTGAATTTTTAGATGAGATGATCATTTATTATGGTATCAGAAACTCAATGACCATAAGGTCACGAGTTCAATTCTCACCGCTTTCATTTTTTAGTGAAATTAAGTTGACATAAGATAGAATTTAAAAAAATAACGGATTTGTGCAATATCCACACTTCAGATCCGAATGAATCTTGCATAAGGAGATGTGTTAGACAGATATAATATATAAAAACCGATCTTATTTTAAGACTGACTTGAAGATAATTGTCATATACACAAATTAAGGTAAATATATGCATGAACTATGCAGTATTCTCAGAGTTCTCCAAACATATGGAGCTTCATTCTCTCAGCCCCAAATCCAAATTCTTACATAGCAATGGGGTTCTCTCCCAATGGAGGAATGGTGGGTTCAAGTGCCATAGTGGGGTGGATATCATCCAATGGAGCTGGTGGAGGAATGAAACAGTATTATCTAGCAGGGACCACACCAAACCAGGTGGTGCCAGATAGAGGAAACTTAAAAGTTCTCACAAACTCAACCTTAATCACATCACAGTCCTCACGTTTGTACATGGTCTTCCAGTTACAAACCAACCACCCTCTGTCCCAGCTGATTTACGCTATTGGACCCAACGGTATCTTTCCTTCAGCACCAAGTTTTGCACTAGCGCAGCACCAAGACAAAATTTCCATTACATTGAATTATGCAACAGGTTAGTCAAAAGAAACCATGCATGTGTTTTTTTTAATAATAATAATAATAATATATTTTTAACCAAATGTTTAAGCTTTTAGGAGAGTTGATTGTTAGAATATGGTATCAGAGTCATGGTTTCAAATTTGTTATCCCCATTCATCAAATAAAAAATTGAATTTAAGTATAACTTAACAATTTATTTATTTTTTTAAAAAAAGAATCTATGTATTATCCATGCTTCAAAGATAAGGGTGTGTTAGGTACAAGAGAAATTTATTTGTGTCCGGGAATCATGATTTCTAGTAATATAATGAGAAATCCATTTTATCGGGAATGGTATAAAAAGTCGTTTGGTAGACATAAATATTATTGAGAATATTTAATAATTTTACTGAGTATATGTTTAGTTGATAGTAAAATATTACTGGTAATATATGATGAATTTATGAAAGTAACCTTAACTTTTCTCTTGCTGTGAAGACAGAAACCAAACCTAGGTTTTGATGTGAGCTGGAGTATTTTTGTCTCACATTTTCTTTTGCTGCTTTACCTTTCAGTTGGATTCACAAATACCATATAATTTGTGGTAATCTGAAATCCTCGTTTTCTTTGTAAATCAGATTACTAGTAAACGAAGGTTACTGGGCAATTGATTTTGTTAACTTAAACCAAACATGGCAATTCATGTTTACCAATGTAGCTTTACCAGTAATTTTTAAAAATACCCCGTACCAAACACATCCTAAGAGAATTTTGAAGGAACATATTAAGAAATATAATAATATCATATTCATTTGCCTTTATCTAATGACTTAAGTTTTTGAGAAAGCTAGTTGCATGATAATTTTTCGATTATTTATGAGCAAATTAATTTATTAACTAGCTTGGGGAAAATGAGAAGAATCCGCCCCCCCCCCCCCCCCCCCCCCCCCCCACCACATTATTTAGTGGTCAATGATGCTTGTAGTAATATTTGTGCATTTGCAATGAAGAAATGGTTCGTTGGGAATAGTTCAAAAGTCAAGTGAGGATTATTCTAGTGTTGACATTTTAGTTGAGTTTATTTTGGCAAATGATCATGGGATCAGCATGTCCCATTCTCACTCTCAAAACTAGACTTGGATGGTGGTTTGGGGTTGTTGAGAGAGGACATTTTTTTTGTCATTTTGCCAAGAATAATTAAGTTGAAATGTAAGATCTGAATCGACCCTCTACCAAACCAAACCCATTTGTGTGGGTTTTTTTTTCTTTTTCCTTTTGGTAGGGTATTTATGTCAACTTACGTGTATTATAAATCACAAAAAAGAATAATACAATGTTATAATTATGTGATTATAGTCATTTTCTAAGTTGACTGATAATTTAACAATTGCTATATAAAGTATATTTATATGAGAAAGGATCCGTTTACAATTTTTTTTTACAAATTACACTAAATATGACCGATCATACACTCTTGATTGAAGTATAACCGGTTATACTTAGTGTAGTTTGTAAGAGTTTATAAATAAAAAGTTTGTAAATATAATATTTCTCTCTTTATATTTATTATTTTTTCTTCTAAAAATCTTGGAATGTCTTGCACTGTTATATTTAACACTATCTTTATATTATAAAAATCTTGTTTATAATTTTTATTTGAAACAGGTTCAAGTGGATCAGAAAACCCAACTATGAACCTGAAAAGGATCCATGGGGTGGTGAATATCTTGGGATGGGGCATCCTAATCATAATGGGAGCAATAGTTGCTCGTCACTTCAAGGAATGGGATCCATTTTGGTTTTATTTCCATGCTTCAGTACAATCATTGGGCTTTGTTCTAGGAGTAATTGGTGTAATTAGTGGGCTTGTCCTTAATAATGAACTCCATGTTGACGTTACACTTCACAAGGCTCTTGGAATCATCATTCTCGTTCTAGCTTGTCTCCAGGTATTTTTGCATCTTTTGGGCTTTTTGACCCTTCTGATACAAAAACATAAATATCTATCATTGGTTTAATTTTTTTTAACAAATTATTTTTTTATTTAATACAAAAAAAATGTATATGTTTCACTCACGTTAAATTGATGAATAATTTATTAAAAGAATTAAACAGTAATATGTCTTGAATTTTACATTAGAAGTGTAAAAAAAGCCCCTATTTGTACTATATATGTTCAAAACTCCTTGACATATATATATCGTATCTGTTAATAGAATACTCATAAATTTGGTATATATGCTTTTGTAGATAATGGCTTTTCTGGGTCGTCCGAACAAGGAATCAAAAGTGAGAAAGTATTGGAATTTATACCATCATAACATAGGGAGAGTCTTGATTATACTCGCCATAGCTAACATTTTCTACGGAATCTATTTAGGTAAGGAAGGAAGTGCATGGTTGGTTGGTTATGGAATTGTGCTTGCTCTACTACTCTCTATTGCAGTCTTTTTTAAGATTAGACCGTGGAGTACTAGAGACTAAACTCTTTCCTTTATATAATATATAAAATTGCTTCACCATTGGTTTTTATTTGTCATCTTATTGTACATTGAGGATTAGAAATGAATTATTCTTATGTTAAAATACATTTTAATTGTATTCAATTAATATTGGGTTAAAATGAAACCTCTTCCTCTTAAAATTGTGCTGCGTGTGTTTGTCACCTTTACACTAATTCACAATCATCTAGCTCCAAGAAAATGCGTTGTCTATTTTATAATATGATGGATGACAAAAGCAAAAGAGAAAAAAACATATTATTCCGAGCCATATTGAACGTAAATTACAAAGACCGTACAACCGATACAAAGTACTAAACATAAAAAGATCGAAAGGCAATTGTTATCAAATTTATTAGGAATATAATTTAAACTGATCAAGAAAACAAATGGATCAAATTTCTTCATCTCTCAAGCCGAACATTTCACTTTATTTCCAACTGTCAGAGTGCTCAAAAGAGTTTTTTTTCTCCACTTCCGAGAATAGATAATATAATTTGCAAAAATTTATGAAATAAAATTTGTAAACAGATTCTTCCCTATTCATATAACGAGCGCAATTAAAATTATCTTACATAATCTTATGTCACTTGTGAATATCCGTTTTCGTAAAACAATAACATAAATGATTAAAATATAAGTAAATTATAATGTTACTTGATTCTTTCTTCAATCCAATGATAAATTAAACAAACATATATATTACTAAATAAAGACCGGAAAACTTCGAAATGAAGACAGGTACATATGCAGAGCATATGCATTTGAAAAGGAATCCCAAGCTACTTGTTTAAAAATTTAGTCGAATTTGGACCATTTCAAGGCAGAAGATTCCAGGCTGATCACTTCACAGCAAATTTGGGATTTTCTTTGTTTTAGCGGAAAAAAATATTTGAGAAAAATGCAAAGTTATCTCATTTCAATTAAGTTTCCTATAATATATATAAGTTGAAATTTACAGTGATATTTATAAATAACTTACTAATAAAAGATTACCAGTAAAAATTAATCTCAAAAACCTTTTTGTTGATTGAGAGTTATCATGTTTGGCCTATCATTGTTAATTAATGTGTTTTGGAAAATGCCTGTTTCACTATCACACATTTTTCTTATACTTATTTTAATCATAATGTCTGCACAATAATTAGTTTCTATGCAAGATTCTCATAGCTGTGGATCTTCTATACAAAACTATGAATGAATTGAACTATGTAAAAAAAAAAAAGTAATATGCAAAAAGTGAAAACTTTAATTATATATAAAATAACAGAAAAATATTTCTGCAATTACTGCAGATAAGTTATCTGCATTTACTTCCAAAACGACGTTGTTTTGGGATTAAAAAATTATAATTATAAAGACTATAATAATCCTGAAATAAATTAAAATTACAAAAATACCATGATTTCCGTCCCAAAACAATATCGTATTGGGTTTAACTGCAGAAAAAGTGAACCCATAAAATAAATAAAGGATTTAATGTTTCTCATCTTGTAGGAGATAAAATTATTTCCTACACACATAAATTACGTGGAGCCCATGTAATAGTATGTGAAGAGAAGAGAGAGAAAAAGAAAATATGAATCCCGTACACTTTTATGCGTATATAAGAGATAATTTTATCTTTTATAACATGAGAGATATTAAAACCGTAAGAGCCCGTTTGGTAGCAAGATTATATTTGATCTCCCGGGAAAGCTAGGTATGAAAAATAAGAAACCCACGTTTGGTTGACAAAAAGTAAAAAGTTGCACCGGAAAAATTGTTTCTCGGATTTGTTTATTGTGTGCAACTTTGTGTACGGTCATCACTTATGAAACTCCATGGATCAGTTGGAAAACTTGCTTGCCCGGGGAAGTAAAACATAAACAATGATTTGATGGACGAAATTAACCCCGTGATTTGTGATTTGTACGATCGGTGAAGTGGGTAGCTCCATTGTGTTCGCAAATATCTAGCACCAAAACACACCGCAAGCTACTCCCTCCGTCTGTGCTGTCGAATGTCAGGAAGATGATCTACTGTACCTTCAAAGCTTCCAGGTGACCTTTCTTGCTAGAGGAAGATGCAGTGGCACTAATGATGCTCCAACTAGTGGAAGACCTTTGAGGCAATTCATCAAACACTTGGCGAGAGGAATACGGAAGTTGAGTTTTAGAATACAAATTGATGAGGTGATGCGAGACCAAAGGAATGGCTTCAAGACCCGATTTGATGCTGTGGGCATGCAGCTGAATTCCTTTGGGGAGTGACCGTGAGTGGGTTACACTGAGAAGGAGGTTGCACATGTTACTGTACTTTTTCGAGAATGGTTGTTGCAGATAACGAGTATCAACCTCAACCATTACACGACTAGGGGTTATTTTGGTAAAATAATCTTACATTCCCACTAATATTTAACGATCAACCAAACACACACTAAATAATTTTAATCATAAATTTCCGAAAAAATTTCGTCATACCAAACACCTTTTAGTACCGTTCCAGTAAAAATATATTTCTTATTACATTCCGGTAATAATTATTTCCAGGATAAATAAAAATTTCTCTTCTACCAAACGCCCCCTAAAATCAGTGTCACAAGTTCAAAAGTCCTTGATATTGGAGTATGGAGAAAAATTGACATAACCCTCAAATAGGTTGCTACAAGACATTAGTTCCCGACAAGTACACCTTTTTTTTTTTGGAGTTATCCAACCTTAATTATCTCTTTCAGACGAGTTGGCTCCCTCCGGTATCCCCACGAGCTTCGACTCTTTGAGCTGGCTATGAGACTAATCCGGAGTGCGGGAGAACAGTGATGGCTAAAGGTTCAGCCCCCTCCCCAAAAATGCATTCAGCGGGAATCGAACACATATCCAACTCCACTAACTCAGCGCCAAGTTACCAATTGAGCTGCACCCATTGGGTCAAGTACACCTTCTTTGCCTCGAACGTTAATATATTTTTGATTAATTTTGTAGCAACGAAATATCAACGTCGTTCGGCTGGTCATATCCTATATTTGAACGCAAACATAACCGTATTTGTATGTCCTGTTCTAGACGGCAATGCCAAGGAACTCGTCACATCCAAGGATAATAAAACATTTCTTATATTTCATTATATATCTGAACATAATTAATGGTACATCCTAACTAGCTTCATGTTTACCCACTATCTTTGATTCTTATTGCCTTTCCCATAAAAATGAAGGTGATCACATACTTTTGCCTAATGTTTCTCATTATCCTGTCTAGTTCATCAACCCATGTGACTTCTCAAGATTCATGTGCCTCTAAATTGGTGCAAACTAATTTCCCTATCCCTTTTGATACAAGTTCACTTCTTTGCAGTCCTGTTTGGAGCGCTCACAATTTCATCCTTAGAGTATGTATGTGTGTGTATCTTGTGTCTTGTCCAATGGCTTTATAAGGTGCATTTTCAAATAGTGTATATTTCAATAAAAGAGAAAATTTTGATCCACAAGTATTCCCGATTTGTGAGGGTAGAAACGAGGGTCGCAATCTTACTTATGCTTTTCTTGATAGATTGTTTATTCTGTGACCTTTCGGTTATAAGGAATAACGTTATCATTGCTTAAGATTTTTTTCAATATCGTAACAATTTTTTTTTTAAAAAATGATTGAATTTGACTCTTCAAAACTTTTATTTTGTGAATTACACTTTACATTTGACTATTTGAGAATATAAACTGCATTGAAGTGTGTGAAAGAAGAATATAAATAGCTAATTGTTTGTGATTATTATGTGAACAATGAACAGTATGCTAAGGCTTCATCAGATGTGTGGAGCTTTGTATTCTCATTCCCCTCAAACATAAAAGCATATGTGGCCATAGGGTTCTCAAATGATGGCAGCATGGTGGGATCTACAGCAATTGTGGGGTGGATGCCATCTTCAGGTGCAGGAGGCTTGAAAGTGTACTATCTGGGTGGAACATCACCAAACCAAGTGATTCCTGACAAAGGAGACCTCAATGTTATGAATTTCTCAATACTCCCAGCTACTACTTCACTGGCATATATAACTTTCCAATTGAAAACCACCCAACCTACCACAAATCTATTATATGCCATTGGACCCAATGGTGTATTTCCTGATTATCCAGACTATACCCTGGCCCAACATAGTGATAAGACATCCACCAAAATAGACTATTCAACAGGTTAGTGAAAGTTGTGATTCATCATGATAAGTGTTTCACTATATGTACAAATTTCTTCATGTTTAATTTGTTTTTGGTTAAACTAATCTACAGGTTTTAAATAGTGCTTCATAATTTAAAAGCTATAAATGGATCTCTGTGATTTTTAATTTTTTTTTTCATTTGAGTCTTTGTAAGAATCTAACAGTCTTGTTAACGGATATCTTTAGGAATTTTTCTTGCATATGCACTGCCTAGATTAGGTATTACTCTTTGGAATTTGTGTAATTGGAAAGTCGGAATTGTTTATTACAAAAACAAAGGCCGGCCATAACATATTTACTATTTTTTTTTGTAACAATGTATATTTACTATTATTATCTCTTTACGTTTATTTAGGACAAAACTTGCTTCAAGTTCATTGTATCCTTGCCATCAAGTTGTTAAATAGAAAATATGTTATGTGGATATATTTTTCAACACTAAAGAATATTCTGCTAAATTATAAAGTAATATTCATGTGCCATTGTTTGATATGATAACCTGACGATAATAAAAAGAAAGGACTTATTAATCTCTTATTACAAAAATTACTTATCCCATACTATAAAGACAAAATATATGGAGTCCGCCGTTTATAAAAAGAAGATTTACAGGAACCCACCAATTTATTTGTGTAAGAGAGAGAACATTTTATCTGACAACATGAAAAAATGTTTTTTCCTGAAAAAAACTTTATCTATGTTTTATCTATTTATTTGTCCTGTCTCTTCTTCCTATGTCCCATGATTCAATCTGAATCTTGTAAGTTTGGGTTGTTGCAACAGGTGCAACTAGTGAAATTTCTAACCTAAAACTTAGAAGAAGCCATGGCATTCTGACCATTGCGGGATGGAGCATTCTCATGATGATAGGATCAATAATTGCCCGCTACTTCAAACATTGGGATCCCATTTGGTTTTATTTGCATGCTTCCATTCAAACATTTGGCATTTTAGCAGGCGTAATTGGAATTTTATGTGGATTTTCCTTATCCAAGAAGCTCAATGCTGATGTGACTAATCACAAAAATATAGCAATCCTCATTCTCGTCCTTGGATTCCTCCAGGTTAATTTGTCTCTTAATTTAATTAATTTACATTTGAGAGAGTTCATCCTTATATATAGAGAGATAAAGAGACAAGATCATTTTACACCGATATAAGTAATACTCTAATTGTAGTTGTTGGTCCTGTTTATGTCTAACAACTCTAATTTATTAGATAAATGACTCATTAGATACAAGCAAATCAATGACTAAGATTGTGCATAAGTTTTTTTATTTTTACACTGGTGTTCGTTGATATATATATATATATATATATATATATATATATATATATATATATATATAGAGGTTTAGTGAGTGTACAGTGACTGGATACAAAATTTGGTCCTATGCACTAAGTTCTCCCGCTAGAACACAGTTATAGTAAATATTATAACTATGTTCTCCCGGGAGAACACCATTATAATATTTAGTGCACTCTCGCGGGAGAACTTAGTGCATTGGACGTCCAGTGAATGAATTTTCATTTTTTTACTATATATAGGGAATGATCCTTTTACAAATTTTTGCAAATTACATTATGTACTCCCAGAAGTACATATTGTAACTTAGTGTACTCCCGGGAGTACATAGTGTAGTTTACAAACTACACTTAAGTATGACCGGTCATACTTCAATCAAGAGTGTATGACGACCGGTCAAATTTCAATCAAGAGTGTATGACCATCATACTTAGTGTAATTTGTAAAAAAAGTTTGTAAACGAATTCTTCCCCGTATATATATATATATATATATATATATATATATGAGTTCGCTTTTTCTACAGTTTATCTACATTGAGCCGAAAACGACGTCGTTTTGAGGCGGAAATCAAAGTATTTTTATAATCATAATTTATTTCAGAATTATAATAGTCTTTTTCATTATATTTTTTTAATTTTTCAACCCAAAACGAAGTCGTCTTGGGAGCGAATGTAGATAATTTATCTACATTCACTACAGAAACATTAAAGCCTACATATATATATATATATATATATATATATATATATATATATATATATATATATATATATATATATAGGGGTAGGATATTCTTACACCGGTATAAGAGTTAGAAGTCTTACACTCAATCATGACCATCGATCCACTTGTATCCAATGACTCACATTACAAAAAAATTAGAGCCTTTAGATAAAAGTGAGATCAACGGAAAAAATTGAGAGTGTAACTTACACTGGTGTAAAATGATCCTGACCCATATATATATATATATGGGGCAAGATCATCTTACACCGGTGAAAGAATAATAAGTCTTATACCAAATCTTAACCATTGATTTTCTACATGTAACGATTAAGATTTATTAAATCTCACTCATTAATTAATTTTTAATTCCAAATAAATCTCAACCGTTAGATGCACGGAAATCAACGGTTAAGATTTGGTGTAAGATTTATTATTCTTACACCGGTGTAAGTTGATCCTATCCCTATATATATATATATACACACATGAGAAAAATAAATCTTATGTTGTAGGAGATTTTTAATCTCATATCATAGATACATCAAGTGTAGGATCCACTTATTTAAAAAAAAAACAAAAAACAAAAAAATGAGTGACACATATTTTTATGGTGTATAGGAAGAGTTTGTTTTCTCATGCAACATGTGAAAAACAAACATATATATATATATATATATATATATATATATATATATATTTTGTGATTTGGTTATATATTTAGGTTATCTATGTTATAATAGGCTAGTAAGTAGTCAACTTTTGTCTGAATAATAATCAGTTTCATTTTTCACTCATATGACGATTGCTTATGATTTGATTTCATAGGTATTGGCTATTGTATTTCGACCAGGACCGTCATCAAAGATACGCAAGTATTGGAATTGGTACCATCATAACGTGGGTAGAATTTTGATTATCTTCGGAGTAGTTAACACCTTTTATGGAATCCATTTAGGAGGGGAAGGATCCAAGTGGTTTCTTGCTTATGGAGTTACCATTGCCATCTTGGTTATTATAGCTGTCATTTTGGAGATACGAATGTGGATTATTGCAAGAAAAGAGACTGAACAATCCAGAAAAACACCATCAATTCCTCAATCCATGGAGTTAGGGGCTTATTAACACATTTAGATTGAATACATAATCATTTTGTAATTTCTAATGTAATTCGCTATATTCAGCAGTATTATATATTATATGTTACATCCACTGGAGACCTGCGGGCAAATGCCCACAAGTGCATACATAAAATTTTTTATTTTAGTTTTTTTGTTGTTGTTGCTGGTCCTTATTTGTATCTTGGTTTAATATATATATTAGAAGTAAATATCTTTTTAAATCCCTAACAAAAAATATGGTCTCCATTTTAGTTCCTTACAAAAAAAATTAGTCTCGAAGTCCCTAAAAAATTTAAAGTGGATCAATTTAGTTAAAATCGTGGTCCCTCAAAAATTCAAAAAAGATCTACATTAGTCCCTCAAAAAAATCAAAATTGATCCACTTTGAATTTCATAGGGACCAGGTGACTAATTTTTTTTTTATAATGGACTAAAGTGGGGACCGAATTTTTTGTTAGGGACCAAAAAAGATATTGATTCTTATATTAATTAGCAACGTACGGAGATGATTAAAACAACGTAGCAACGCAAATTGATTGGAGAGAAAACTTATTCTCCCTCCCCTGTCATGTACACATTCCCATGCTCTTTTCATCCTTTTTTTCCTTTTTCATTTTATAAAAAGAGAGGATTGATTGCAGGTCTGACATTCTCAAATAAGTTAATATCTAAAGACGAGGCTTTCAATGTGATTTTACTTGTCTTCTGTACAGGTAATGTTGACTTTTTTATTCACCACTATAAAATAGAATGACGATGTATGAGAATGTACTTGAGTATATTCTCATATTTGTTTTGGAAGATTGATAAGATTTAGGGGGGAAATAATTGATTAAATGATTGCCTGCAACTTGTTATGGAATCAACTAGATTATGAACGGGTTCCAGCGTTGATTTAAACTTTATTTACAAAAAAATTTTTTGGAGACACGAACCCCCGCCACTAAATGTGCGGATATAAAAAAAATTTCGTTAGTCTTGTCACTGGTTACCTCGTATATGTTTTACCAAGAAGCCATGAGAATTTTTGTCGACTATTCTTGATACATTTTCTTGTAAACACTTCTTCAACTCAGAAAATCAACCATACCACAAAATAATTCTATTTGAGTATATATTACATCCTAAGCTGTCTCATTTTATAACCAAGTAGTTTATTCTAATTTCCGTATAAAATAATCTTGCATAGAGCTTAATTAGTAAAAGTTTCTTACATGATATAGACATATAGTGATGCTTTGACCATCTTTCACGATAATGATACCATCATCTTGTGGTTTGTAAGTTCTCAGTTGAAAAAAGAAGACAATGATGAAGTATGATTTCTTTCAACTATATGGGCTTGCATTCCTTTTCCAAGTTCAGAGACAGTTCTGTTGAAATAATGCTTCCTTTTGGAATATAGTATCAATGAGACAATGACCCTCCTTCAAAATTGGCAACTTGGAACTTGCAGCAACAGCATTCAGCCTTTTCTTTTCATCCCCCATAACTGATATGGATTTTCTAGCTTAGTTTCCAGCAAGAGAGAAGCCTTTAGAATTAGGGGACCTCACCAGGATAGAAGTAATAGCACCACTATGTCTAACAAGATATGCAATAAATGAAATCCATGCTGCAGCACTGTTGATCTTTTATGAGAAAAACAAACATCAGAAACAATATTGTGCAACAACTTATATTTTATTCTGACTAATGAACTTGTTTTAAATACAAAACTGAGCTCATGTGGTTGCTACTAACCAGCTGATTTTGTTGATCCACAAAATCAGCAACAAACTAACAAAGCAATAACAGTAAAATGCAGTAAACAAACTCCTAAACAAAAGACTAATCAATTTAAAAAACAACTAATTAACTCCTAAAAAATAGGACATCAACAGCAGCCTTGAAACACCAACATTCTCCTCCTGGATCAAGTGCTGCACACTCCTAGCTTCTCCCTGAGAAATTCAAATCGACTAACATGAAATGACTTGGTGAATATATTTGCAATTTGATTTTCTGAACTGCAGTACATTAGCTTCACTTCTCCAGCCTTTTGCACTTCTCTCAAAAAATAATACTTGATCTTAAAATGCTTTGTTCTTCCATGAAATACTGGATTCTGTGAAATAGCTAGAGCAACTTGATTATCCACAAATACTTCTATGCCTTCTTTTTGCTCCAAATGCAGGTCATCCATCAGCTTCTTCAACCATAATGCTTGGTTTACAGCTGCAGTAGCTGCAATGAACTCAGCTTCTGCAGTTGATTGAGCCACTATTTCCTGATTCTTTGAACACCAAGAAAAACAAGCTGACCCAAATGTAAAACAATAACCCGAAGTACTTTTCATATCATCCACTGATCCAGCCCAGTCACTGTCAGAATACCCTTGCAACTTAAACTTCTGAATTCTGCAGAATTTGATTCCATATGAAAGAGTACCTTTCAAGTACCTTAACACCCTTTTTGCAGCTACCATATGCAGTTCACTTGGACAATTAAGAAACCTAGACAAGACACTTACGGTAAACATGATGTCTGGCCTAGTTGCAGTGAGATACATAAGGCAGCCAATTAAACTCCTATAAACTCTTTCATCTGCAGATTCCGATTCATCTTTCTTTTGAAACTTTTCCTTTTGACCCATTGGAGTACTTACACTCTTGCACTCCTCCATGTTGAATCTTTTCAGAATCTCCTTCAAGTACTTCTTTTGATAGATAAAAATTTCATTTTCAGTTTGTCTAACCTCCATCCCCAAAAAATATGACATCTCACCAAGATCAGTCATTTCAAACGTTTTCATCATTTCCCTTTTGAATACAGTAATCTGAGAATTATTACTCCCTGTTACCAGCATATCATCCACGTAAAGAGACACCACCACTAAGTCAGATGCTAACTTCTTGACATATAAAGTGGATTCACTAAGACTTTTTATGAAACCCAAACCCAGCAAGTGCTCATCCATCTTGTTGTACCATGCTCTAGGAGCTTGCTTCAAACCATAGAGAGCTTTTCTCAGCAAATAAACCTTCTCCTCCTGATCTGGTGTGACAAAGCCTTCTGGCTGCTCAACATAAATCTCCTCTTGCAACTCTCCATTCAAAAAAGCAGATTCCACATCTAACGGATACACTTTCCATCCTTGTTGAGCTGCCAAGGCAAGAATCATTCTAATTGTATCTAGTCTTGCAACCGGAGCAAAGGTTTCTGAGAAATCAACTCCCCAAACCTGTGCATATCCCTTCACCACTAACCTGGCTTTATGCTTATTAACTGAGCCATCAGGATTGAGTTTGGTCCTGAAAACCCATTTTACTCCAACCACTTTCCTGTCCTCAGGTCTTTCTATCAGCTCCCATGTCTGATTTTTTTCTATCATAGCCAACTCTTCCTTCATAGCATTCATCCACCTCTGATCACTTTTAGCTTCCTCATAACTTGAAGGTTCCAAAACAGCCACACTACACCTTTGATATATATGAGTCAGAGATCTGGTACCTCTAATTGGATCATCATCTACTAGCTCATCATAATCCAGTGAGACCTCCTTATGCTTTGCTTATGGCTCATCTGTCCAGTCCCACTGCTCATCTTCTAGGAACTGAACATCCCTGCTATTGATCACCTTCTTTGTCTGTGGTTGATAGATCTTGTAGGCTTTTGACACCAGACTATAGCCAAGGAAAATTTCAGGTTCAGCTTTTTCTCCCAGCTTGTCTCTCTTGACCTGTGGAATGTGAGAAAAACACAGACAACCAGACACTTTCAAATTTTTTAGAAATGGCTTGAAACCAAACCAAGCTTCGAAAGGTGTCTTCTTTTCCAGTACCTTTGTAGACAGTCTATTTAACAAAAAAACAGCTGTGTTTGCTGCTTCTGCCCAAAATTCTTTTGGTAGATTCTTCTCATGCAGCAGACACCTAGTCATTTCCATAATGGTTCTATTCTTTCTTTCACTAACTTCATTTTGCTGTGGAGAATAAGGAACAGTAAGTTGATGCTCAATTCCAGCTTCCTCACAGAAAGTGTTAAACCTTTGTGAAGTGTATTCTGTTCCATTATCAGATCTGATGACTTGAATTTTGCAGCCACTTTGAGTCTCAACCCATCTCTTAAACTTCGAAAATATCTTAGCAACTTCTGACTTTTGCTTTATAAAATAAATCCAGCACATTCTAGTATAATCATCAATGAAGATAAGAAAATACCTGCTGCCATTTAGTGAAGGAGTCACGTGAGGACCACAAAGATCTGTATGAATTAGTTGTAGCTTCTTTGTAGCTCTCAAGGTGGATTCTTTGAAAGGAAGTCTTGTCTGTTTGCCCAAAAAACAAGCTTTGCATCTTGTGATCTGCTCCTCCAGGATTGGTAACCCAGTTGCCATTTCATTCTTCTGCATGAATAGTAAGCCTTTGTAATGAAAATGCCCCAACCTTTTGTGCCATATTTCTGAATCACTAGCCTGACACTTGAATGCCGCTTGCTCCTTCTCAAGGGGATTTAGAGAAAAACTCTTCTGTTGCATCTTTATTCTGAACAGCTCCTGACCATTTGAGTCAAAGATCAAACACTTCCCTTCTTCAAATATCACTTTAAATCCCTTTTCTACCAACTGCCCCACACTCAGCAAATTCTGATCAATATCAGGCACGTACATCACACCAGAAACCAGCTTAGTTCCAGCATAGCTCTCTATTGCTACAGTCCCTTTACCTTTCACTTCTAGATACTCTCCATTTCCAATTCTCACTCTTGACTGCAATGACTTGTCAAGGTCTCTAAATAGCTTTTCATCACTTGTCATGTGGTTTGTGCAACCACTATCAACAAGCCAACTATCACATGGAGCACTAGAGGAGAAACAAGAGGCAACAAATAATTGATCTGCCTCATGCTGGTCTGCAACATGTGCCTCACCTTGCTGCTGATCTCCCTTTTCTTTGCAGAACCTTTCAATGTGTCCAAGCCTATGACACTTTCTGCACTTTACATCTGGCCTCTTCCAACATC